ATGCTACAAAAACAGACCCCCCCACCTTTTTCTTTGTTAATAATTGCACTCTTTCAGACGTTATATTGAGGTATTACACGTTCACGTCCGTAGAGAGCGCTGTGGTGCTGCTGTGGATCCATTGGAGAGAACGTAGCTACAGGCTCCGCTCATGCGCAGCTCAGAATAAAACCAGCTCTGGTTTGAGCTTGACGCTGACGTGTGTCCTCTCTCCCTGTATCAATCCACAGACTGCACAGTGCGTCCTAGCCTGTGTAACCTTTGCTGCCGGTCCAGATTACCTCGAGGTCTGGTGCCGATAAACACAAACAAAAATCAAGTTTCTAAGTAAAAATATATAAACTGAGAATACATTATTTGGTAGTTTTGCTTATGAAACGAAAATATTTGGCTGCATGACAAAAACTTTAGCTTTCAAAACAAAAAGCTTTGGTCTCGGAACTGTATGTGTGTGTGTGTGTGTGTGTGTGTGTGTGTGTGTGTGTGTGTGTGTGTGTGTGTGTGTCCTTGGTTTGATCACTTTTGACTGGCGATGCCCACTGACTTCAGACCAGTCAGAAGGACAAGAACCAAAACACAGAAGTCCTCCATGTGAACTAATCAAATGTGTCCTGACTTTGGCAGAAGGTTGTGTGTTAGTGCAGAATACCATCATTCACTTCAAGGAACACACACACTGAAAGCCGTGCTCCTTCAATGGTGGAGCAAACACTCCATGCATGCAGCAGGAAGGAAAATCCTTGAAGGCCCCACAGATCCGTTCGCGGTGCTGATAATTGTCCCTGATGGAAGGCTTCTCTCTTCACAGATTTACCTCCCTCCTCTTCGCACATCACCGTGGAGTCTCTCACGTCCCCACAGAGCCTCCTGCTGGTGGCCAGAGCAGCTGGACTGTGCAGCTCACGCATGGTCTCAATCCGACTCCACAGACCAACACAGACCAACACAATGCGTAGAGTTTTGTATTAACTGCTTCTTTCGTTTATGGCTGTCACAATATCAGACATTTACAAAACCATTCACATTTATTGTATATTATTCATTTATTTTTACAATGAAGGCACTTGCAAATGACGAGGTGGTGCATGAGGTAAACCATACTTTAGTGTTTCCTTTTTACATCTTTCATTCAACTTTGTTTTCTTTCATTTTTATTTAAACCAATAATTGAAAACAATGAAATATGTTAATTATATGTTTATTATTAACATGACATCAGTATTACATTATTTAATACTGGTATGTAGAAAAGAGTGCAAACCGATTTACCACGTTTGCTTCCTGTCCCATAATGCACTTTGGTAGCGTGGCTTTTTAACGGCCTCGCCTTCCTCGTTCTAACTCAATGCCTCGAGACACCTCACAGACGTCGGCTGTGAATGATGTTGGTTTGGTATTTTCCCACAACTGAAAAAACTCATCCATAGTCTGGTAGTTTCGTATCCTTTTTTATCCCTTTAATGACTGTTTTTCTTTTATGTTTCAATATATCAATGTTCTTAATTGTTTATAAATCTCCTTGCTTTATTTTTGGATGTGTTTAATGGTTTTATGTGAAGCACTTTGAATTGCCTTGTTGTTGAAATGTGCAACGAATAAAATTGCCTTGCCTCGTCATCAAATAAGATCAATTAATATCATCCTTTTATTTGTAGATTCACAGAACCAACTTCTTCACCAGGTGGGACGTCTTTAGTAGTACAAACAGGCAGGATGTCTTCTATAGTAGTAGTGTAGAAGTAGTACTAGTAAGAGTAGTAGTATTCCTCATTATGACTAAAATAATTCAAATCAGTGGATCAGTGGTCGATTTATGAGATAAAATTAAATAATACAATTCTGTCAAACATTATTTTCAGATTTGACATATTTTGTTGTATTAGCAGAGGTACTTTGCAGAAATAGAATATTTTTTGTTTTGGTATCTTCACCTTTATGGGGTGGTATGATGAGAGAAAACTTCTCTAACTGAAGTACTGGTCACATGACAACCACACAGACTTTCCAGCATTAAGCTTTTTGAAATAAAATGTGTGCAATTTGTGCTGCTCAGTGTTGATCTGTGAGAGGATCCAGCTGTGCTGATGTGTGTGTGTGTAACAGCAGGGGGCAGCATGGTTACACATAGATCATTAGGCAGGTTCCCTCGCCTGATGGAGGAGGGGAACCGGCCTCCTCCATCAGACTGATGTAACGGATGACTGAGGGCTCCGGTTAAAGTAGGAACTGTTTAATCTGTATGTGCATATAGCTGTATACGTATTACGTCATTAGATTATATATATACACACACACACACAGTGGCTACAGTTGCCCATGAGTGGTTTGGTTGTAAAGCTGCAACTGTTCCACTCAAAAGAGTGTTCCTACAATTGCTGAACAAAGGAGGATCAGAAGCTACATTCATCATTCAGCTACAAGGTTCATGTTCCATCCAATGCTCTCCAGCTGGTCACATGTCGTGATGGTCCCTCCTGTCAGGATACGCTTAGGAATTTCATTTACTAAGTGACATTTTCATTAAATGATTTACAAAATGTAATCGTAAAGGCCTCAACAGTGGAATAAATGTCTGTGTGACTGTATTTAGTTTTGCAGATGATAGATTTCGCCGTCCGCGTCAGGAGACAGTGACGTTACAATGACGATGGACGTCGGTCCGGCTCACGCCTACAGCAGCGCACGGCTAATTCACCGGCTTCCTTTTACCGACTCTGGTTATGAACATTTTTACTTTCATAATTAAAACAGTATTTGGCTCAAAAGGTAATGAGCTAATGCCTACTTTAACACCGTTAAATCCCCTGAAAACATTACACGATCATTTTTATCAATAGTTTTACCGGATAGTTTCCGGAGACAGTGACATTAAATTTTGAAATTCATTCATCTCGGTTAATGGAAATGAATGAATGTTGCTGTTGTTACAATGTTGTTTATAATGAATGTTTGTTTTTCTTCTAAAGACTGAATCTTAAAAGTAATGATTAATCACTTTAGAAATGCACCAACTGGCAAGTCAAATTCCTTGTATGGCTGACATATTATGGTAATGAATGTTTCCTGATTGCTGAAGTTGAAAGCTGAGTTAGGCTTTAAACCTTGTACACCACGGTCAAGTGACTTTAAGGCAAACAAGAGTTCTCATGAGGATGTTAATTTGTCTCATTCAGCCTCTTTTTAAGACGTCAATGAGTTACACAAATGTGTGAACCACTGAAATATTTTACATCATAGAACAAAACGTTTAAGTCCCTTAAGCTTGTTTTTGCATCACACTAAACCATAAAAACTGATAACTGAAGACTGAAATGTGTATGTATTGCTAATTGGCTCATGTCAGCATTCTAACACACTGGTGAAGATGGTTAGCAGTATAGCCACTTAGCATTAGCCTTTTAACTTGGCTACTGAGAGCTTTCAGCATTCCACTATCAGCATTTAGCTTAAATCACGCATCCCAATCGGTGCGGACAGATGGACAACGACGGACAAGACAGGTTCCCTTATTTCTACAATAAGATATGCAGCCCATGATAGTCGGTTGTAACATTCACATGAATGGGGGTGAGAGCTGATTCATGCAGGTTGTCCTGTTTTGGCTTCTGTCTAGTCTGGTACCACTAGTCTTTTAATTCGAAATATCTACCCTTTTTTTTAATGGTAGTCGACCTCCACCCAGAGCCCCGTCCTCTCCACTTGTCTCCGTCCTCTTATTCACAGGTCTTGTTTCAGGTGGGTTAGTGCTGGTTGGACCAGATAAGTATCCGTTTACACTATATACAATACTCCACTGTTCTTTCCTTACTTTTTTTGGCATGCCGCCCTCTAGTTCCCCCTCTTTATCCCTCAGACATTCTTGCATCCCATTGACCACAGCGCCTCCCTCCTCTCAAAATACTTACTTCTTCAAAATACCGGTTTTCCCTCTTTTCCCAAAGGCTTTTTGTTACTCTCATCGCTGTGTTCCTTAATATGGGCTCTGTTGCCCTCATCTGAGGTTTTTTGATGGTTTTATAAACAATATGGGGTTGTCGTGGTGCAGGGGTAGAGAGGGTGCACCGGGAACTGCAAGGTTGATGGTTTGAGCCCTACCTGCCCCATGTTGAAGTGTCCCTGAGCAAGACACCTAACCCCCAGTTGCTCCCCGGGCAAAGATTTTAAAAGCCATGGGTTCAAAATGTAATGTAAGTCGCTTTGGATAAAAGCGTCAGCTAAATGACCTGTAATGTGATGTTGGCCTCCTCTTAATGGATATATTATATAATATAATATAATAATAGGATATATAATGCAGCCTGGCAACTAACCGCTAACTCCTTTATTCTCTGGTCCGTCTCCCGGAGACTTTTGACGTGATAAGCCCTTTTCCATGGGCCAAAAAGTTTCAGTCAATATCCCACATTTATTCAATGCAAAAAAAGGTATCAAACACGTATTATAACTGCAATTAAATATTTAACATTTATTCCAACAGTTTAACATAATAAGGACATCTAATTCAAACAATTCAGTACATTAATGAATGTATATATATATATATATACAATATACTATGGTCCTCCTTTCCCTGACTCTATGCTGTCTACCAAGGCCAACTGATTGCAATGCGAAAGCATTAGACTGAAGAAGAATACGCAATTAGAACAGCAACAGCATTTCTGCAGGTTTTTTGCACATCTTACTGCTGACGTATATAAATAACCACAAAGTTGTACTATCCGCTAAAGTTAATAAACTCAGAAAGACATCTTTTTTCTTTTTTTTTACTGTCCCTATACCCTCTCAGTCTTCCTGATGCAGTGCAGCTAAATTGGGAATCCGTGGACACTAAACACTGCATATAGACTTGTCCCAGATCAGTAACCAAACCGGGTTAGTTCTTCCAGGGCTTGACCCACTCCACTGTGGTTTCAGAGGACCCAGTTACGTCAGGGACAGAATTCCTAGTTCAATTAAAAGACTTTCCCTTGAGTGTAAATATGCAGAGCAAACTAAAATGATGGAGAACAGTGTGTTTATTCACTTATCAATTTATTTTATACAGTAAGATCTTTCTCATTTAGGTGCTAAATTAAAGCTGCACTAATAAGTGTTTTGTATTAAAAAATTAAAGCAAACCTACGCTGCTTGAGCTGCTCAACATAATGGAGCGCTAAGCAGCAGAGAGCATGTTGAGCTGACATTTATTGGTGCATTCAAACTGCATGTTGAAAACAGGACGGAGTGGAATTGGCTGTGACACTGTTACCTTCTGTGCTCGTATCTGTGGGTGCCACAGTTGTTCTGTTAGTTAGCAGGGGGAAGCGAGAGTCACTGGAAGGCTGCGCGGACCGTCCGGTCACTGAGCGGCTGGGTAGGACGGAAGTTGTCTCCCAACATCCCATCGTTCCCTTCAAGTAGCTCCGCCCCTTTGACATGGGACCGCAGTCTCCGAAACTCCTCGATCTGCAGATGAGGAAAGACTTGCTTTGAGAGGACACACTATAGGTTGCGGCTCTTTATCTCAAGGCTCCAGTGGGCTTCCAGTGCACCTGGTGTATTCTATCCTTGACAAAGTGTCTTGTACAGTACATTTAAATACATTCTGGGCCCTAAATAATGAGCCTGTTTGCACTCATAAGTAATAACATCCGGTAGCTTAGTCAGTGACTCTACCCGTAATACTATGACGTTCTACATGGCCGCAGTTATGTCGGGAATAAACAAGAAAGTCAGTTGCAGTAAGATTAGGAGCGTTTAGTAAAATGGAGCACTTTTAGGACTCCCCCAGAAGTTGTCGCTTGTGTCCGCTGTGAAACCAACCTTATTAAGTCAATGTTTAAAGAGGACATTTCATGCTGGTGAATGGTTCTGAAGGAAGTCTGCTCCTTGGTATACCCCTCAAACACGGAACCTTAAGCAAACTGTGCGGAAACTTGAACGATCTTGGCGTTCCACCAAATCAGAAGGATCTAGATTAGTTTGGCAAGACAGCCTTAAAACATATAAGAAGGCTCTCCGTAAAGCAAGAGCATCTTATTACTCATCATTAATAGAGAAAAATAAAAACAACTCCAGGTTTCTTTTCAGCACTGTCGCCAGACTGACAGTCACAGCTCTGTCGAGCCGTGTATTCCTTTGGATCTCAGTAGTAACGACTTCATGAATTTCGTCCTCAGATGTAGGAACCTCGGATGCAGCAATGGGCCCTGATGTCTGCTTGGATGCCTTCTCTTCCATCAACCTTGATCAACTGACTTCTATAATTTCAAAGTCTAAATCTTCTACTGGAAACCGACTAAGCTGCTTAAGGAAGTTTTTCCTTTAGTTAGCACGTCTTTACTAGAAATTACGAATCTGTCTTTGTTGACAGGACATGTACCACAGTCCTTCAAAGTAGCTGTAATTAAACATCTTCTTAAGAAACCTACTCTTGCTCCAGAGGTGTTGGCTAACTACAGACCTATCTCTAATCTTCCCTTCCTCTCTAAGATCCTTGAGAAATCCAAATCAATTATGTGACTTTCTACAAAACAATGTTTTGTTCGAGAATTTCCAGGAAACAGTCAGAAACAGCACTGGTGAAAATTACCAATGATCTTCTACCTGCATTGGACCAAGGACTCATCTCTTTTCTTGTCTTGCTGGACCTCAGTGCCGCATTTGATACCACAGACCATTATAGCCTGTTGCAGAGACTAGAACATTTGATTGGTATCAAAGGAACTGCACTCAGCTGGTTTAAATCCTATTTATCGGATCAATCCCAGTTTGTCCTTGTAAACGGTGAATCCTCGAAGTCCACAAATGTTGGTCACAGTGTCCCACAGGGTTTTGTACTTTTGTACCGATTTTATTTACCCTCTATATGCTTCCTATGGCCGATCTTATCAGGAAACACCGCATAAACTTCCATTGTTATGCAGACGATACTCAACTGTATCTGTCGATCAAACCAGAAGAGACCGACGAGCTAGTTAGACTTCAAGAATGTCTTGGAGACAAAACTTGGATGACCGGCAACTTCCTGATGCTATACTCAGATTCGTTATCGTGATAGACCCAGAGCGCCTTCGAAGCCAGCTGTCTCTGGGCTCTGTCTCTGGTACCCAGCAGCACCGTCAGGAATCTTGGAGTTCTCTTCGACCAGGATATGTCCTTCAACTCTCATATAAAGAAGACTTCAAGGACTGCCTTTTTTCATCTACGTAATATATCGAAAATCAGGAACTTGGAACCCCTAGAACTGATCCCAGGATGACACCGGTACTTATACGTGATAGGAGGTCATCCAGGGTCACAGGTGACTTTGTTGGTATAAAGACTCGACCCGCGCATGCGCGAGACAGAAGATAATCCTGCCTGCCTCTGGCGGTCATCTGGGATTCATAGAACCGTAGTTACATTCGTAACTTTCGGTTTTGGGACAGAGGATGTCTATTTTAATGATATTTTAATGTAAACTAAAAAATGTTTGACTCGAGATCATGTTTTATTTGTTCCATAGCTCTTTCGTTTTTTTCTGGAGTAATACCCATCTTCAAACCACTTATCCATACAGGGTCGCGCGTGGGCTGGAGTCAAAGCCAGCTAACTTTGGGTGAGAGACATGGTTCACCCTGGACTGTCACCAGCCAATCGCAGGGCTGACACAGAGAACCATTCACCATTTTCACACTCAATTTAGAGTCCCCAATCAACCTGATCCCCAGAGCATGTCTTTGGACTGTGGGAGGAAAGCCGGAGAACTCGGAGAGAACCCACGCAGACACGGGGAGAACATGCAGACTCCACACAGAAAGGCAGCTGGGCGGAGTCAGGGGGGAGGGGGTCCTTTTTTTTACGGTGGCGATAAAGCCGCGTCAGTGAGTTTGGGAACCACTGTAAAGCTTGGACCCCACCGATCTGACAACTTCATATTGGTTCATACCGACATGTTCCTCAACACAGCAAAGGAAAGACAGTGTTGTTTATATTCCTATGAATTAACTACAGACATTTTGCTACTTTAAGAGCGTAAGCTCCTCTCACGGAATGTATCTGAGCAAACCTGTCTGAAAGATATTCTTCACAAACATGACAACCTAGAGGTCTGTGATGCTCAGAACGTGCCATGGAAACCGACAGAGAAAATGCTTGCGCTGCAAAGAGAAAGAAGCCAAGAAAAGGGGAAAAAGACAGTTTGCAATGTATGGTCAATGGAAGCTTAATGTACGTAAGGCAAGAGATCAGCTGAAGATATTAATGCCAGCGAGGGAGCTCTGGTCTCTCATTGAAGAGCTGAAGAGAATGATAAGATAATGAACATGTATTTTGACATTTGCGAAGAAGACGAGTAGACACGTGTGAATCCGTTACCACGTAAATTGTCAGGATCGCTTAGTAGAGCAATTGACGAAGAAGGGGAGTTTGATGAGGACCATGAAAAACTCTGCCTTCATGAACTGCTGCATCTGCAAAGTCTGTCTACGGATCTGCTGCGTCTTCTATTAGTGACACCACCCTATTACTCCATCCACGGCAGCTACATGTTTGAATGCAGCTGCTGAACTTGCATTGAATGAAGTGAATAATGAGATGATGGTAGCAGAAGAAAGGCAAAGGGAAGTGATCTGAGAGTTGGCGGCTCAACACAAACTTAAGCTGTACAATAAGGACATGGAACGCAAGGAATGAACCCCTCTTTCACATGCAGCATCCCTCTCATACAGACATTTCCTCTCTTGCGCCGGTCTTTCAAGACAGCGTAGCCTTAAAAAGGCTCCCTCTTGCAGAGCAGTCCTTCCTCAGTGGTGATGCAATGCAATTCATTGGATGGAAAGCAGCGTTAACTTCACTCATCGACCAAAGGGCATCGATCAGCTTAGGCCAGCCATTCACCATTCACAGAGCATTCAGAGAGAAGCTCAACAATTGGCCATGGATTCAAACTAAGGATGCTCAACGACTCAGAATCTTTTCAGATTTGCAAGAGAGAATTCCCAACCATCATTAGAAACAAAGATGGTTGCTTATAGACACCCCTTTTGTCCTTTGGCTTTCTGTAGATACAATGGTGACATAAATATATGCTCCACACTCAGGGTTTACTTAGGCTATTAAAAAGGACCTATTGGGGTAAAATTAGAAGACTGGAATGCATTTGGATTCCTTAATAGCAGATAAATATCCTTTAATGATATCGTCATAGTGTCGGAAGGAGATTAAAGAAGCTTTCAGAGAATGAAACAGTGTTGTCGGTCGATTATTTTGGGTAATTTCCGCTCTTGATGTTTGCCTAAAGAAAGCGTGGCAGACGGCTGAGCAAACAGATGGTATTTACCCAGCGCTACAAAAAACAGCATCTCCTCTTGTTCTCTTACTCACACAAAAGTGTACAGATCAGAACTGTGACAGAATGGATCCACAATCTGACTTCCCGTTTACGTGAAACCAGCGCCGATACTATCGCTTTTACACGCATGTACTGAAGAGTGGCTGGCCAAGACAAACAACAGTTCCTGTGCTGTCGGGCTGTTGGCTGACAGAAGCAGGATTTATAGCCCGCTGTCAAAGTGCAAAACCCTGTAGGCATGGCAACTTGAATACCTGCACTCGCTCTCCCTCTCTCTCTCTCTCTGAGCAGGCAATGATAGCCGGATATTCGGAGGTGTGTAGTCTAGGTAAACAGGACCCGCTATTGTAAAATACTTTAGCTGCAGGTGCTCCGATTAAACATGACTCAGAAAATAGGTTGAATATGAGGAATATGATGTATATTATAATTTGTCCAGCTGCTGCAGATCCAGGGACTTTAACACAACTCAATAGAGGAAGAAACAACGTTGAACACACAATCCACTTCAAAATCATAAAAAAAATAAAATGCATTCCTTACAAAGCCAGAGCTATCTGAGAATCATCTTGTTTTGAAGGTGACTTTGGTATTGAACAAATCCAGTGATAGTTTTGTTTACTCCCTTGTGTGAACTTCAAACACAAACTACCAATAGCTAATGGCTGTAGTATCAGACTGACTGGGGTAGGCATTTTTGTAGGCCAATTTCTTGGTTCCTTCTTGCTGAAATAGTTATGCCTTATTGAGAATGTAACGTGGTTTGAACTCAACAATGATGTCCTTTAAACATGTTCAGAATAGTTGAGCTTCTCACCTGGGACAATGACCTCCCAATTACTTCATATTAAGAGGTCACAGGGTTAGGACTAGTCCTAAAGGGAACAGCTTAACCTTGGTAAAGGCTGCTGATGCTGATAATGTGCCTGATCTCCGTGGAAAACCTTGTGGAATGGACATAGCCTGAGGCTGGAGGACACCAGGAAGTCATTTGCCTGTTAGCATTTCAAAGGGTCAGCATGCCACAGGGCAGTAAGGATGAAATGCTGAAAGAAAGGTCAGAGGAGTAACCATCATCATCCTAGAACCATGAATCAGGGGGAATTCAAGCCAATGTGACAGGCACATTGATTGGCGAGGCTTCCGGTTCTGTGTTGAATGCTAGAGGTCTACAGGTCAGTGCTGCTGTGTTGTATGAAGGCCACCAAAGGAGTTGTGAGTGATGACCTCACTCCTACTACAGCATATTTCAGAGAGTTAAATTGACTCTGTGAGATTCAATTTTAACTCTAAGCTGGTGTTTATATTGTCCCAATATTGTGTTAATAAGTGTTAACAAGTTAACTCGGAATAAGTGTCTAAATCTACCCAGTGTTAAATACATTTAATGTCATTTAGCTGACACGTTTATCCAAAGTGACTTACATTTTTAACCCATGGTTTTCACATTTCAGCCCAGGGAGCAATTAGGGGTTAGGTGTCTTGCTCAGAGACACTTTGACATGGGACATGTAGCACACAGTAAACATAAAATCAAAATGGGAGGTAGAATTGAATATTAAACTGCCGAAGAAGGATTGGCTTTCCATATGTAGAATGCAACAAACCTCCACAACTTCTAGAAGATGGAGGTAATTTGGCTGGAAGAACTTCTTTTTACTTAACTCAACACCAAAGACATTGGGTAAAAAGCAGCCATGCTGGAGGGAGTGCGGGCAAATAAATGCCAACCATTCACACATATTCTGGTCATGTATAAAAATACAATTATTCTGGGACAGAATACTCCGTCTCTGGAGGACATTCTACACTACAAGATCCCTGAGATCGTGTTCCTGATACCCGGCGACATAATTCAAAAGAAGGACATCTACCTCTTTAAAATCCTCTTATAGCAAGTAAAAAAGCCACTACAAGCAGCTGGCTGAAAAATGACCCTCCAAGCCAAGCAGAGTGGCTGGACATTGTAGAGGAAAAACGTTTCTCTGCAGGCATCCATGAACAACGCTGGGGAAAACGGACTGTATACAAGGGGAAAAGATGAGTAAAGTTGACAGTTGACCTGAAAAGAGTGGATCCAAAAGTATAGGGAGACGACCCCCTTTTAATTCAATTTATATCAGTTATTATATTATTATTTTCATTTTCATTTTTTCCTTTCTCGTCTTCTTTTCCTTTCACTTACTGTTTTGTTGCATTATTTGTTCAGTGAAACAGAAAAAAATAAAAAATAAAGGAATAGAAAGTAAAAAAAGGTACTGTTCAATTGTCACGTGTCTATCCACCAATATTTCTGTTCCTATCATGTGCTAAATGCTCCGCCCTGTTTACAGGATGGGTGCATGTCTGTGTGTGTGCTGCTGAGCAGCAGGAGCACATTGGCTTTAGCGGGGCGTCCTCTCTGAAGACAGCTGCTTGCAGCCCAAAGAACCAACACAGTGAACAGAGAGACACTGAAATACTCAAAAGTCTGAGTTAACAACCGCTTTCATGTTACAGCCCATTGTTTAATTAGGTAGGGAATGAAGACAGGATGCAGGCACGAGTAACCACTTGAACAGTACAAAGCAGGTTGATTAAAACACCCAACATTAGAACCCAAAGGAGAACTCCACTTGAACTTAATTGAAGCAGGACTACAGTAAATTGCCTCGGTCTATCGTCTATCAGAGATGAACGGCTGGCTTAAACATGTAAGTAGTGCTAAGTAGCTCATTTATTTTTGACTCAAAACAGTCGTCAGATTCCACATAGCTCCCTATGGAACTACTAAATGCTTAACGCATACAACTTTAAACATATATATGACTATATTCCTGAGCGTGACCTGGAAACGGACCTTCATTTGATTTGGATCCTTGGTTTTGTGTGTATCCTTTACCTGTGATTGTGAGATGGTGAGAGGGTAGCGGTAGAGGATCCAGGTCACTCTTTCACTACAAGGTGGTGTGGTCAGCGACCCTTCGTACACCCAGTAGTCTCTCAGTAGAGGGTCTGGAGGCAGATCAAACAATTCAGAAATAAAACGCTTTAAAAAAGCCGGTTTGTTCTCCAGCTAGGGATTATGATGAACAAACCTTTTATGTGTAACAGTGAGAGTAGCACTTTTAACCTCCACGGTTAATAAATCTCCTTTACATTTTGGATTCACAGTCTCCCTTGGATTGTCTCTTTTCCCAGGTGATGTATTAAAACAGGCCAAACGTGGCAAACACGTTTTAAAGGTGCGTGTAAACACAGCCAAACCACTGCCAAACGTAATATTTGCTGAGGGTTCTCAGCAAAGACAGGAACAACGAGTCCCTGCTTCAATACCTATCTACCTTTCATCATTTTGAAGTACCAACCGTTTAACACACAATTGGACGGAGGTGCATTTTCACCTGTAGGACAAGTGTCGTGCCTCTCTCGGCCTTAACCCTTATTCTATTCCAGGTCAGAATCTGTGACCTGTAGTGCAACACTGATTTTCCAACATTGTAGATACTGTCATTATGAATGCATGAAATTATGAGGGGATGATTAAGACCCAGCATGCTGCCAGTTTAAGGCAACTGTAGCGATATAACATACAAGGAATGTCCATATATTCACCATGCGTTTGAAACAATTGATAGTTTTCTGCTCACCAGGTAATAGAGTGTTGGGGTTGAAGCAGGGGATTATCTTGTTTTTTCCCTGATGGTGTCAAAGCAACACAACAGAACATGTTGTATTAATGCATCATGCATGCTCAACCGTTGGGTTGTTCATCTGGTGTAACAGATGGCCCCATATCTGCATTTTAAGATTGAATCCCACCTTGTACTGCAGGTCCTGCAGAACTTCAGTGACGGCCTTTAGACCCAGATGCTCCTTACCAATCTGATAAGAACACAAAGCATTACAGGTTTCAGTGGGCGGACAGTTGGTGAACTATTGATGTTAATTATCAGTAACAACCTTTAAAGACTTTGAACAGGATCGTAGTTTGTGTATGGCATATCTACATAGGAAATAACAGGAAGTAAAAACAGGATCTATGCCAACCCCAGGTCAAGGGTGTCTGAGGTGAAAGCAGAAGGACATTTCTGGATGGAATCTTTTCACTGGTGTGACCCAGATCGCACAAAGGTGGTTGGTCTTGCCGAGTTTAATAGAGTAAAAGTTCCAAGTTGTTTTTCCTAGCAGAGAAGGTACGGATTATTTCAGTAGCAAATTTTTTCACGAGTAGAAAGAAAAAAGTCAATGCACAGACGTGCATAATTGCGAACCAGGCAAATTTTCAACGGGCGGCGTGAATTAAGCAAATTCCAAGTACAGAGCAAAAGTGGTATTTCCATGGTGGATAGTGCCTGAATGATGCAAATAGTCCATCAAGTAAACTCATGACAGTAAAGCGTAGCAAAAAATTTGCTTAACTTTTGGGTGAACGTATACTTTTACATAAGATGGTACAAGCTCATCTGGGATGAACCTGTTTGCTCATTTAGGAAAACAACTTTTACCGTCCAAGCCAGGAACAAATAGTTATAGGGCACATTGACGTTCACCTACAGTATGAATGCTTTTGCTTTTATTAGCCTACTTCAATACAAACTAGACATACTCAAATAATACTCATGAAAATGAAAGCAAAAAGCTTAAGATATTGTAAGTTACTTAACGGTTCTTGGATGTTGCTTTGTTGACTAGCATGTTGCTAGCTGATGCTGTGGACAGGAGTGTCTGCTGTGATGCGTGTTATGGTGAAGTAGCGAAGGATGCTTTAGGATTTTGAGGATTGTTTATTGGTGGGTTAAGCAGTGTGCTTCTAGTGGTAGCAACATGCTAGCTTATGCCATTGTCAGGTTTATACTAGTCAGCATGCTAAAGCTAGATAGATTGAAGTAAATAGCTGGGAACCTGGGACACTAACACATACATTCTCATACAAATTGGTAGGCTACATTATTGGAAATATTTACTATGTATTGGTAACTATATATATATATATATATATATATATATACATATATATAGTGGTGTTATCTGAAGGACAAATGCACATTATATATATATACAGTGTGAGTCAAAAGTCCAAACTTTTGACTGGTACTCTGTATGCATATACTGTATGTATATACAAATATAAATATTAGAAAACAAACGTTGGACCCAATATGTGCTCTTTTAGGTTGCATGTGTTTATTTTTTCAAATGTTGATTTTGAACTCTTAACAGAGTTAATTGGCTCTGTTAAAGTGTTTAAACTGTTTTAAAAGCGACCCCACCTGGCCACTACCACCAGCCTCTGTGGATGTGTCTGTGGATGATTTACCTGCACGAAGAGAGCAATGGTGAGGACTCCGTTCTTCTTCCCAAGAGCATCCTCCAAAGTATTGAACAGGGTGCTGTTCCAGTGAATCAGATGGAGCTAAAGATGGGCACAATAACAACAGAACATAACCCGTGTGGCCGTTATTGTAAACAGGTGTATGGACCAGTGGTAAGTGAGAGAGGCAGAGACCATCAGCTGGGGCTGAATGAGGGCTTCCTATACTCTTATGTCACGTTAATATGATCGGGCAGAAATATTTGCAAACCCTTTACCCTGAAACACATTATCAGACCGGACCACAGATCTATACTTAATAAGAATAAAAGCTGCTTTGGAACTCATCTTAAACCAAAATGATATTTAAAATCTCAGATATCTCTAAGCTGTCAGCCACTTCATCAGTAGTTTAGACACACTTCCCATTGAACACTGGTTTTGTGGTTTGAAAAATCATGGTTGGTCAAAAGCTATCTTGCTCTTTAAATACAGTATAAAGTAATTGAAACAATTGCTACAAATGTCAAAATGACCAACAATGACAGTTACATTTGAAGCAAACCCGACCTTTTTTTTACTGGTAAGAATGGTAACTTTTCTTTTGGTTTAAAATATCCTTTATAAGATGAAAAGTGTCACTCTCAGGAAAATTCTACTGGAGTCCACAAATATATTGTTTTATTTTGCTTTGTAAAAAGTTTAAATCTTTTTCGGAAGCAGTTGTCATTTTAACAAAAGTCATGCAGGGAGAGACTATTGGAGACCATTTTTAGGTAAAAATTCTTTGGGCTACCAGAATGGTAGCAAATGGACTCACTTATTTTCATCATCACAGCGAATGAGTGTGTTGGTGTTCCACTACTGGCTGCACCATAGTTTCCCTTCAGACCTTTAATTTCTCACTAAATACCAGACGTTAGTTCCCGGGACATGTGGTCTGACAGAGCACAGCTAAGTTAAAGTCAATAGTTTGAACTACAGTTTCTTTGGAAACTACGGTTGCACGCCAGCAGCAACCAGGGTCTTTTGCCAGAGTCTTGTCCTGACTGCATCCTTGTCCGGTTTGGTGTCATGAACTGCGATTAGACGGCAGCCTCACGCTGTCCGCTGTGGTTCCACAAGAAATACCGGTTAAAATATATGTCTTTGTCTTTGTCTCGGACCAATGAAGAGACATTTCAACCTGCAAAAAACAGTAAAAACAGTAGCATCCTTCAGATGTCAGAAGTGTGACTTGTTAGAGAAGATTAAAGGGTTCTGCGTTCAAGGACTCAACGAGCCGTGGTGTTATCTGAAGGACAAATGCACAGTGTAGATCTTTAGTCTTCAGAGTCATTTAGTCTGCTTTGAAAGTGTGTTAGGCCCACGCTCTCACTTTGTGTGTGTGTGTGTGTGTGTGTGTGCGTGTGTGTGTGTGTGTGTCTTTGCGCTACCTCCATAGGGAAAGCCTTGAAGTTGACAGTGTGCTCGGATCCTCTCTGGTTCTCCTTGCCCCAGTGGAAACGAACCTCGTGAAGCTCATATTCATGATCACTAGGCAACGGACCGCCAGAAACCACTGACAACGGCACAGGAAGCGCAGGGCATTGTGGCACACACACAGGAAGTAGAAGTCAAATCAAAGCGATCAGAAGCTGTCCCTTCTTGATCCTTGCACCTTGCTCGCTGCTGCTATCGGGCAACTTTTGAAAGAGCTGAGAAGGAAGCTGATGGCTCACGTGAGAAAACGAGGAGTTTAATTCATAATAATTAGGATATATTGCAAGAGGAAATCAACTTTGTTGTAAATGGGATATTATGTTCAGTGCTGTGGGAAACATTTGAACCTTTCCTGTTTTTTTTATATCTGTCACGCTTAAATGTTTTAAATTGTCAAACAAATGTTATTACTATGCAAAGATAACCTGAGTAAACACAAAATGTATTTTTAAATGATGATTTAATTTTTTGAGGAAAATAAGCCATAAACAGTAATTGACAACATATCCGTGATAACAACTGCAATTGAGTGTTTTGTGGTAGACGCGGCCCTCCGAAGAGAGCCACGGGGGGGAACTGGGAAAGGGGGGTATAGCTTAAAAAAAGGCGGGGGGATCCAAGCCTTAAAGGGCAGTGAGGATTAAGAACTCTTGAAACAAAGTGTACAGAAAATATATCTATATAGAAGAAATATGTGTTTAAAAACCCAGATAAAAAATAGGATATGTTGTTCCCTTAATACAATATATAAAGATATAAGAAAAATAAAAGTAAAATTCATAAACAACATAAAATACACCACATCTAAATATGAGTGACCATGACTGCTCATACATTGTACACTGTACCTCATCAGACTGCGTCGGAAGATTAAAAATCTTAAAAAATCTTAAAAATGTAAACCCGTTGCTTTTTCACTTATGCGCAGCAACGATGTGGCAGGATGTGTGATGTATCATTACAGCGGGCTTGTTTTCAAACACAGAGAAATGTATGAATGCAAATCACACAGTCTGCTTTCTCCTCCCTTTTGAAACAATGAGCAGTGACACGTTGACATGGTGCCCGTGGCAGGTACCTGACTTGGACTTGAGGATGATGCGGACGGTGTGTCCGTCGTTGATGACTTCGCATTCTCGACACACCACGTAGTTAGGTGATAAACCGGCGTCCAGCAGGGACGGGTCGTACTCGGCCTCCCTGGAGTTCAAGTTAATGGGAGATTGGTACTCGCCATTGGCTGATGGGAAATGCAGTCCCCATTCTACACCTATGAGTGAAAACATGTTACATGTATCGTATCCATCTCGGTCATCAATAAAAGTATTGTCAGAACAATATCAGGCAAGCTGGGTACGCTCACAAAGCAAACAGTGGTTTACTATAACAAAGCTAACAAGCTAGCAACAATCCCCGCCTGCCTTAGTCCGTGTTATCTAAGAGCTTTAATGCAGCATTAAATACACAGAAATAGTTAGTTTGATTTTACTGAGGAAAAACCGTAAATAACTTTGTACTCTTTAAAACGTGAATACATCATTGTCTGTGTCGTTACATGACCTGCATGATGAAGCAATAAAGGTTGAGGCACGAGTCGATACTTGATTAGTCTTTGCCATTTGAAAACTCTCTATGAGACTCGAGATGTTGCTATCAGCTTAAGATCTGTTGCGCCGGCAGAGTGAGGACCCACAGCTGAGTGTAGAAAGAGATCCGTGAGGTACCCGCTGGCCTAGATTCCCTTCAGCCTCCCACTGACTGCAAACACTCTAACGGCACAGTGACAACATTGATGAGTGTGTGGAACCTGACGTGTGTTTAAAAGGTGCTGCGTAAAATGTCCATGAAGGCCCAGTACACCAGCAAACCCAGAAATACGCCGAGCTTCTCACTGCACTCCTTTCTGCTGCATTTGAAGGCGAGACAGACGCGGCAGAAAGGTCTCTCCTCAGCACAGAGGGGCGAGCGGAGCATCACATTCCCTCTTTCCTCAGCAACTAAACCATGACAACAATTCACTGAAAGCAGTGAGGGGTTCACACTGAAGGGCTGTGCAACCCTCAGTGTGCGCGTTTAGAGCTTTAGAAATGTGTTTGGGATGGATCGCATTGCTTAACCGCATAATATTAGTGACGACGTGGTTGACTGACTGTCACTCAGTTAATGTGCTTGCAAGCGTCTTCTTATGAGATATCAAAAAAATAAATAAAGCAGTCAAAGCTCTGATACTTGGAGGTTCACTCCCATTTTGTAACTTCTGGTTCTTCATGTATTCACGCATCTAAAAGGCTTTGCCAACTTCATTCAAGCTCTTTCATCAACCTTTCCTTTATTTTTTTCATTTATATGAGCACAAGATTTCCAAAATCCTAATTGGCCCTTGAAGAATATCTTTTGTTGGGCTCACCGCCCTGAGACCAACCAAGCAGTAATTTTTCTTTTATCCAACGACTATGAGCATGATCTAAAAATAATGTTCCCATACAACTAAAACTACATCATCAATTATTTTACACATGTTTCTCATTGTAGTCTGTATGAGTTTGTGGATGAAGGGTTTCACTTAGGAGACCACTATTCTTGTCCCATGGGAAACCAAATATCCACGTAACTTAAACAATGTAACAAACATACTTCCTTTAAGTCAAACCGTGATCTTTTACTAAACATAATTAGGTACTTCCATTGTCGATGAATTGGCAAGTAGCTTTTTCTCTTTTTTCCTTTCAATGTACACTTGCGATCCGGAAAAATGTGCCTGAAAACTGAGGATGCGCAGTGTCCAAAAGAGTTTTCTTTATTTAGTGCAGTAAGTGAAAATGGGGATTTGCAATGTGTTGGTCAAGTTACTTTGTTTCTTTGCTTGTTGGTTAGCTGTATATCTCAAAGATTTAACATCATACATAATGCTTGAGCCAATTCTATTTCTATATTCCGTTCTCACAAATGTGCAAAATGAGTTAAACACTTAACTCACTTAACTTAAAGACGTTCTCAAACAAACCAATTTAACTTTTAATTTAATGCTAAAGCTTCCAAATAGTTTTAAAAATAAAATGAAACATCCTCTCACTGAGCCTTAGTAGATTATTCATATTCTACCACTGTGAGGAGTTTTTACTATTACTTAACTATTACATATATTTTTTCATTATTCAAAATTAAAATAAAACAAAAAAATGTATTATATGGTGTATAAAAATGTATAAAATAGTTTATATGGTCTCCTTGAAAAATCATACATTATTGGTTGTATTATTTATTTTTAAAATATATATATATTATAAATAATAAATATATTTATTTATTGTTTAATTGTTTTCTCTTCTTTTCAAGCTTCAGTCAATTCTAATATCAAGTGTCCTGTAGAAAACCCTTAATCTCCACCGTAATGGAGACCGCCCAATATAATGTAATATCAACTAATTAACATAATTCAAAAACCATCAAACATATCATAAACATCTTCTGAACAACCTTGTGCCAATTATTTGGATTAGTTTTCAGGTTTTTCCACAGGAACACCGATGTGACATTTGCAAGCCATACGTATTTCATTTTCTATCTCATGCCCACAAAGCGTTGCATATCATTAAGTATACTCACGATGAGAATGACACAGCTCAGTATCACAGTGCATCCCTCGATGCTCAGTAAGTGCAGAGGTAGAAAGAAGACACAATTTAAATGAACTCATCACTTTGAACTTTCACATGTACTTATGTGGACTAGCATAAATCAGCTCTAGGTGAGGCTTTACACAACAGGACAACGTGTCTCATTTCACTTTGATCTCGTATGACTGACCCGAGTTGAAGGGGAGCCCCACCACTTTTACACATTTCAGAAGCCCCTGGTCCACCAGGTCAAGGTCCCACAGTGTACAGGGACAGACATGGGGAGCATTGCCACGGCTTAAACATGTGGCTCATGTGGACAGCAACGGGTAAGTAGTGTGTCCTCAGGAGGTCTGCTCCACCCTGGGGGCTCCATCCACACTCCCTGAACGGGTCCGTATGTCGACAGGCTCTGCGTGCGTCAGGAGCTGCATGCTGAGGCCCTGAGGAAACAGGCTTACCTACAGGCTCTCTGATTGTGCTGAGATGCAGGCAAAGTTTACAAGACAGCTGCTTGAGTCCAACTTCAGTGAATGGCTTTTTCCGTTATGGTTGCCACTAATGGTGGACGGAGGCCCAGTAACTTCTGAGATGGTAACCCTCCACTTGCAAAACTCTGGCGAGGAGGTCAAGGTCTGGCATTAGCTTTCCATTGGTTAGAATAGGTCTCATGGAAGTTTTCAGATTTACTTGCATCGTGGGAATTGTAGGGTCCCCAGGTCTCTGCTGCCTCTATTTTGACCATTAGTTGTTTTGAATCAAGCGTGTCCTTCTGATAAAATAACCTTTTTATATTCATCCCAAACAAACTAATCTGGTTTCTTTTGTGCAAATTGTCCAGCAGAGCAACACTCACATAACTTTTTAAAACAGTTTACACATTTAAGAGGTTTCATTATTAGAAACGTACTAGATTGATCTTTAAGAAAGGGTCGAAATGCTTATAGAATGAACAGGCCGATGCAGGAGGTAAAGACGCTTTAAAAACCCATGTGGACCATAAACTTGTTTCACAACGCTCCATAGATCCCAGCATCCCTCCGTATGCTGATGAGGAGCAGCATGGCCTACCTTCCTCGTAGCCCCAGGCCAGCTCATCTTTCCCCGGGTTATAATCCGACTCCTCATTCACGCTGTCAGCCATGGTGTTCGGCAGTCTGCTCACTGTGGGTTCAAACCAGTCCGTCCTCCCAGTAGACGGCCAGTCACACTGGTTCACTTGGAGACAATCTGAAGACTATGCAGCCGGCCGGATTGATTCCCAACTGAGCAACAACTTGCTTGACTTTTCACTTTCTTCTTGATGTCTTGGCTCTTTGGATTATTTTCTTTCTTCTAATTTTGTGTCTTCGTGTCCCCTTATGTCCTCTCTCGCTCTTGTCTTCTCACATCTACTAACTGATGTGTGTGGAGCTGTCTGCCTCTCTGTGTTTCTCTTCATTCTGTTGCTCCTCCTCTCTCTCTCTCTCTCTCTCTCTGCCATCTCCCCACCCCTCGCTCGCTCGCTCCGGCTCAGTTCCTTTCTCTCTCTCTTGCCCTCCAGACTGCAGGTGGTCTTGCCCAAATAACCACCAGCTTCTCCCTCTTGTATTTGCCTGTATTATTTCTCCTTTCTACCATATAATGAATGTTTCTCCACAGCAGCTTGACGTGTATGATATTTTTGTTGACCTTTGTGCTGTTTTGGTTGCCTGCTATGTGTGTGTGTGTGTGTGTGTGTGTGTGTGTGTGTGTGTGTGTGTGTGTGTGTGTGTGTTGGCATACTGGCAGGAAGGTCATGCTGGTGTTGCGTTGGAGGCCATGCACAGACCCTCCCTTGGCTGTAGGAAACAGCGATGGTTGAGGAAACCGGCAGAAAAACAGTAGGTGGGGCGAGTGAACTGTTCTCCAACCTTGATGACTTCAAGATGCACCAAGAAACTCTCACGCACTCTGAAACCATTAAACCCACCACATTCACCTTTTGGTTAGTGCTCCTGAACCTCTAATGCTTTACAAAGGGGGGCTGGGTGTGGACACTGTCATGCTTGAGACTTTCACACCAGGTTGGATTAAAAAGAATATGTCTGAACAAAATGTAATCTGTTGGCTTCTTTGTTCTTTGTATGTGTGAAAATTCAAGAGGGATAAATAGTTCATGTTCCCCTTTCTGTGTCTCCCTGCTTTCTTTCACTCTTATTAATCCATGTCCTCCAGGCTACTGATGTTAATTGCCCTACATTCCTCATCAGGAAATTGTCCTCGGAGTCATCTAAAAGCAGCCCAGCTCCCCAGTTTCCTCACTGTGGAACCACAGCAGGACCTCGACTGCAGTGACATTACATTACGTGTCATTTAGCTGACGCGTTTATCCAAAGTGACTTACAATAAGTGCATTTCAACCATCAGGATACAAACCCAGAAGAGAAACTACAAGAAAGTGCAATTTCATGAAATAAGCCGATTCACAACTTGATAAGAGCCATTATGAGTGCAAAGTAGTAAGAGGTAAAGTAATAGGTCTGAGGGCGCCAGCAACATAAAACCAGTCCGCAAATCAAAAGGTAGACCGATGTGTAAACGCGTGCATGCAAAATGTCCTCAAACTTTGCATGGATACATTGAGAAACAGGGCTCTCCATTTTTGAAGAGGCACACTGGATGCCGCTTCATCATGTTTAATCTACCATACAAGCATCCAAGAAGGCTGCATTCATCCTGCTTTCTCTACGGGAAGTCGCCCCTGAAAGATTGTTTTTGTGATTTTTATGAACAGAGGGGATGCTTTTCTGCTGTTCACACATTGTGCAACACTTTAACATGTTTGTTCTATTGTGAATGACCAGCGTGTGTCCCTGTTCTTTAAATCAGTTACCTCATGAACTCAGCATGTAAGATGGCAGCGTGCATTCTGACCTCATTGTTCATTTCTATTTTATTAACTATATTTTTGTCATTGCTCATGATCACGTGTGGTTCTATTGAATGGCAACAACTGGCCTGTAGCCTCATCTGAGCTCTATTAAAATTAAAATTAAATTGTCTTTACTATATACAAAAATGTTGCAATACGTATTCCTTTGGCAAGCACGGTGAGATGACTAGAAGAATGTTTGTGTTGATCCATTTTCCAGATCTTAACTAAATCTCTCTTTCTCTCTATATTTATGGCAAAGAACCGGTGGAAAAAAAGGTTTGGAAAGGTCATTTGTCCATGCGAGGATCATTTTAGCCAGAAGAGGCCAAAGTGCACAACCAAATATTGATATTTCCGGAGTAATTCTTTTGCGTGTGCTTTAGTATATGCTTTTGTCCTTGTGGTTTGTTGTTTTCATGGATACACTGTCACACTGAGTTGTGTAATGGTCTCCTGTATGATGAGATTTGCTAACACTACTAAAGTGTTTAGATTTGGGGGTTTTCTAGGGAGGAAAGTAGTATCTATTTATTAATATGTACTGTCCCCAGCCGCTAAATACAAAGAATAAACGCAGACGAAGAACACACAAACATGAAAGTTGTCTCTAACATACATCCCGTTGCTGCTCCCTGCAGGGAGTCACGAGTCGCTGCAGCTCAGCTGAAGGAGCCCGTCCGACCCGTTGATTGACTCATTTCACTGTGCTTGTATAGATATTTATTTGTCTTCACCAGAAAAAGATTAATTTGCATAATTTATCTTTAGGGTTCCACTCCCTAACATTGTTCTGTCCACGATGCATGTTTAGTTTAGTGAAATTCTGATATTGTTATTGACATTAAAGACAACATTTTATATGTTCAATGCTGAATGATGTTTACTGATAAAAGTCAATAATTACAATGGGATATTTTTACAGGGTTGAATTACAAATAAAAAGTAAAGTATTAGAATGAGGTACTTCTCATGTCATATGCTTTGAATCTGTGCCATATGAGCTATGATCCGATGACGTTTTTTGTGTTGCTAGTCACATATGAGAGGATGTGCATGCTACTTATTTTTCAAAAATGACTGTGTGTCGCTCTCACATTTATGCTACATATCCCAGAGGACGTAAGCCAATGGTTAAAGTCATTCAAGAAAGTGTCCACTTCATTATTGAAGCACTTTAGATTCAGGAATCAGGAATCAGGAAACATGTATTGCCATAATACAAGGCATACAAGGAATTTGACTTGTGTGTGTGTGACAGGTGTCCTGTGCGTGAGGTCAGCAGGGCTGTGCTGACCTCACGCACAGCCCTGCTAGCTAATTAATGTAGTTAGGTTTCTTTAAGTATTCCTCATTTAGCACTGCTGGAGTCCCATCTTCTGCTCAGTAAATAAAATGTGCTTGAGAAATACAGCTGTACCTGAAAGGGAGACATTGTACCTATTTTACGCACATTTTTACGGATTTTATACATTCTCATACTCGTTTTTTTGTTTTTCGTGCAGAATATTTTGCTGTATTGTCATAAGGAACAACCAAATAGTAGCACGTGACACAACACATATACTTGTTTGTTGCATTTGTAATCATTAGTGATTACTTTTCTAAATATCAGCATTGTCCACCAAATGTGAGTTTCGGGATGCCTTTGTGTTATCAAAGTAGCCGCTAGGGGCGAGTGTTGTCTTGTCACCGTTTTTAACAATTTTATACCACTTTGGGAAAGTTTCTGTCTTTTCCAAGAAAACACTTACACATGTTGAATGGTGTGAAAAGTCCAGACTCGCTGACTTCCATTGAACTGCGATCGCCCCAGCATTGAAATGGCGAGTTTTCCGAGGAGGCCTGAACACATCACAGTGTAGCGTGGCGAGGGCGGGCCGTGTGACGTAGAGCCGAGGCTCGGGCTGTTTATTGTTCCCTCCTCAACACCGACAGAGAAACACGGCTAACAAGCTGCCAGCTGCCTTTTCACACGGTTCACGGTTGGTTTACGAAGGTGTAACACGCGAGACAGCGGACTGCACAAACCAGGGGCCATGGCGTATGCGTACCTCTTCAAATACATCATCATTGGAGACACGGGTAAGCCGCAGGAAGTGCCAGCGAGGCTGGTAGTTAGCATGCAGCTAACGCCTAGCTGGCGGTGTATTTCCGCAGTGTTGGATAGTCCAATGACGTGGTAAAAGCAGAGACGCCAGGGAGGAGATGACAGCCCCACGTCTCCCGTGTAAACACATTTGATGTAATATTGTCAGCGCCCTGACAGCGACGCGAAGGAAGATACGGACACTCCATCACAATATTTCCCTAAACTACTTTCACGTAGCGGTTGTTGACAGAGTTGGGCCTATTGTCCGTTTTCTTCGAGGGTGGGGGTGTTAGCCTCGGCTTGCTAGCTTAGCTAACTGCCTAGCTAGCATTAGCGGTTCCACTTAAAATATTAGCAAACAGCTGGAACGACATTTAGTACTTCATTAGATCTGCTTTCACCTACATGCTAATCGTGACAGTAATTTCCCTTTATCGTGGATGCGTCACCGAACGCCACGTTTCACATGAACTTTGCTTCTTGTGACAGAAGGCCAACACGTCAAGCTAAACCCTATTATATTCCCTAAAATGGCGTAGAGCACTTTCGTTGTTTCTGACTAAATCTTGAGGTTAACTGTCTGTCCTGATGGGCGTGCAGACTGTCAGCGGGTGCATTTGTGATGCTGCCACAGTGTTTAAATAAAAGAGAACTGCACCTCTCAGGTAGACGGAGAAATGCATCAGGATTATTCTGTACAAGAAGCCAAACCAAAGACACGGACAGAATATACAGTCACGGTCCAAACAGGTGTTTCCTGTCTGGGCAATTTGGTTATTATGGAGTATTCTTCACGCACTTGGTGACATTGTTAGAGTAAACGTTCAAACCAAGACAGTTATGGTGAAAGTAATTGAAGCGCAGCGAGGAAAGATTGACAACGTCTTGACTTCTTGTGGAGGGCCACCGTGGAGGGCCAGAAGTTATTGTGAAACCTGTTTTTGCTGCTGTTGTTGTCGTCGTCAGTGCAGCTTAGCTCGATTACATGCACGTCGACACAAGGAGTACTCTGCACTGCCCTGTGTGCTGGAGTACTTTGAGCCGTACAGACATTGTGTGGCTTTGACTTCATAGGTCCTTGTGTGATAGAATATTCCGTGGCCTTTCGGCTTTTGTCGTTCAGTAACGTATTTGACAGAATTGAGTAGAATAGCAAAGGTAAATCTCTGTTTCCATCATCACTGTGTGACGTCAATGGTGTGATCAGGACCTCTCAGAGATCCACTCAGGCTTCCAAACCTCGCAGCAGCCCAGTCGGCTTCCTCTCAATGTAAATTACAAGGGTTTGTTGTTCAGATTTGGGATGGTGATCTGATCACGGTATATTTATAAATAGATTGGGTTGGTGGGTATATGTGTCTCTCAGTACGAATGTAGTTTGGATATTAAATATTTTGTTCTGTTTGAAGGAAATGCCATTATTCTTTCTTAGTTAACGTTCGTCAACAGAACTCAAGTGAGTTGTTTTTTTCAAATACAAGCCACACAATGTAGTCCGTTAGAAAGTTGTTTTTTCTGAAGTTTTTAGCACGGCTGACGACAACCTAAACAAGCAGGTGCTAAAAAGGATTGAATAATTATTATATAATAATATGAATAATTCTTTTATGTTCTAACTTTTTTTAGGTTAAGTCTGTAAAATGGTTCAAAATAAAGTTCTGCATTCGTTTTTTGTCTTAGCATCTTTGATGCTTTTACCAACATTGTTTTTGGATTATTTACATGAGTAAAATAATACGAAGATGCAGTTTTTAGAAATGGGTGTCTCATAGTTTACTAATTAATTTACTTGTAAAGGAATTGTTTCAGCATTGTCATTTAAAAAATGGAGGTCATTTTCTCAATTTTATTTTATGCCTTGGTCTCACTTGTTAGCATCTTATCTTTTTTAGGTATCATTTTTGGTTGTCGTATGCCATCATTTTGCTGCTCTACATTTGAGATCCTTCTCTTGTCTCCCGGCGGGTTGATGGAGATCACCGGTCGGTACTTTGCTCAGCCGGGCCTTGTCATCGTATCTACTGGACTTCATTACAGGAATTCATTGTGTTGATATTTCTGCCCCGTAGGCTTTGGTCTTCCCTCTATTGCCCCCCAGGTATAACCCATACCAGCTGAGTCTTAGTTCTGCTGCCCCCCTGGACTTCTACGCAGATCGGGGGAATGTGGGAAAATGAGCACTCCTGACGTACCTCATCACCTACCTGGCAGGATGGTTTCCACCTCCAACCAGATAGTGTGGCTGTTGTAACCGGTGTAGGGGGAGAATGCCGTTGATGCTCCTACGGGAGCAGAGGGCAGGAAATGAAGAGAAACCCCCATTTGACCCGTGCAGGTGGCTTCGCTGTGTGACAACCAGTGCGCTCTGAGACTGGTGACTGCCGTACGCAGCGCTTTACTAGTTCAGAGGTGTTTTGGGACCCTGCATGTCTGGCAAGTCACTCAGACTTTTCAGTTCTACGCCTTTAGTTGCACGTTAGTTGTTTTTGTTCCTAGTTTTCGGAGCGCTTTATCTTTTGAGTTACAAAAGGAGCCTAAAGTGCAGCTTTGATTAAAAAAAATAGAGAAAAGGGCAAAAATGGAGGCACAACACATATACGTGTTAGAGAATTCTAGTCTCTGTACACTTAATTAGACCGTACCCAACATTTATTTACTCTTCAATAATATTCAACACAAACAGTTGTGCCAGAGAAGATGAGCAAACAGAAGCATGTACAGCAGGAGTGTACGCTGTAGAAAGTCACACCGTGTAAAGGCTTCTATATAGTCACACATGTTGACTGACATGATTGTTCTTGAATGCGCGAGAGGACAATGTGATACACGGCCGACCTCGCGGAGTCTCGGACCGCCGTATTAATCTGTAACTAAGACGGGTCGCACGTGGATGACTCATCGGGCAGGTCAGAGATTGACCGCCATGTTTGAGGACCAGAGATGTCACAAGACATGTAGACGTGTAGTAGTGAGAACTCCATAGCAGTGTAAACTGATTCCACTGTGCTAAACCAGAATGAAGCTTGAACTCATCCTAACCTAACTCGATGGAATTTATGTTTTTACCCACGTGCTGCCACTGGCAGCTAACTGCTAACCGCTAACCTCAACTAGCTGTCCTACAGATCTCAACATGGATTTCTGGTTGGCAGCGTATCCGTGTCAGAGGGGCACTTGGGGGTTTCACTTTGCAGCGTGACGGCCTCGTCCTAAAATTACAGTACGTGGAATAATGTCCCGTCTCTGGTAACAAGCGCGGCGCTTCAGCAAATGGCCCCCATACACCCCGTCATCCCACGTGTGCATTGATCCCCTCTGTTAGTTATACGAGTTATTCATTTTCATTTATTTGAAACACCTCAACACATGTATGGATCGCCATAACATTTTCAATCGGCATTCAAGTTCCGCGAGGCGCCCCCGCGCTGTCGGCTCGGATGGGGACCTACTAAACCTCGCCATTTTAACGTAGGCATTTTGAAATTGGGTTATGAACACGTTGTCCCCCCAAAACAGTAATTACAACAGAAATGCCAACTGAATGCCAGACGTATGAGCCTGCCTTTTATCGGATTTAAGGGAAAGGCTTGTTGCTGTGACAACCACTAAAGCCATTTCTCTGGAGCTGACCCATCCACCAGTTACATGATCGGGAATCGTTGTGTGAAGGGCAGAGCTGTGGTTTCTTTTTTCATGCTCTTGTCAAAGCTTTCTCACAGGTCTCCTATGAGGGTATTTTACCTCACAGAGAAGCGTAGATCTCCCCCACTGGAGGAGAAGGGAGCCAGAATATCTATTTGTCTTCATCTGTGTTTACACTTAACCAGGTCACATGATTCCAATACATGTTCGTGTTGCTGCTTCATTGCTGGCTCTGCGGGTTTATTTAAAAACAGACTGGTTATTACAATGTAACGCTATCAGTGATTCCAGACTAGAAAAGCAGGAGACCTGCCTACTTTAATAAATAGTGACGGTTAAACCTCATTCCGCACTGTGGTGGTTAATGTCAAACTGTCAATACTCGCCAGTTGACCTGCGTGTTGAACAGCGAGTGGGCTCCATATAGATCAGCAGGGGGCCGTTTTACCACTGTGTGCTACACTGGACCGGTCAGCATATTGAGTATGTATGAAATGGAAGATAAAGGGCTCAATGTCTCCTCATGACAAACAGCAGTGGGATGGCGATTCAAACCACGACACAACCGTTACCCTGCGTGTGGCCCATCCGTCGCTTATCATCAATATCACGCAAAGACGCCTGCCTAGCAACGCTCTGCTGCCTGCTGATGGTAACCCTGGGAAACCACTGAGGAGGACGACCGAGTCCTTCTCGGTCACCGCCTCCCTCATCAGCATCCCTCGCTTCTCCCCCGTCTGCGCCCTGTTGACAGCTTTGCACCGCTCCCCAACTCCTCCTGCCATCAAACCCGCGTCTGCAAAAATAACCACCAAACGGGTCCTTCTTCAAGAAGCTGCATATTTGAATGGAAATCATTTCTAATATTAAATCGATGTTTCTGTTTCCACAAACAAAAACCAACATCCTGCCAGACATGACATTGAAAAGTTCTTCTGAAAATGGAAGTCTGTCCTGATCAATTTGATCAATGTTTTTTTTTTAATTGATTGTTCCAAAAAATATTTAAATATGACCATAGATATTTCCAAACAGAGAAAAGCACTAACTTTAGCTTTAGAGAACACAAACCGGTGAGTGCCATCAGAACGGTTGCTGATTAATTTTCTGTCCGCGGGCCAAAACCACCTTTTGTGAGTTCTAGAAAGACTGAATGTACAGATCAAGAGCTGTGTTCATCATTCATTCGCAGTACATTTGGAATGATCTTTTCACAGCCACCAATAACTATTTGTTCATGGTCGTTTAAGCATTATGTTCAGATAGACTTTAAATACGTCAACCTCTCCTTTTAGGTGAGATTAGAGATTTGATTTCTCTCTAAAAGCTCAGTGCGATGCATGTAACTCAATATCTCACTATTTTAGGCTTTGCCGTGGTCAATGACATGTACAATATGATGTTTTCTGATTTAAAAATGTTCAGTGTGGAGATCTTGTGTTCAGCCTGTTCCAAAGCGAGTTGCTGTGGCGCTGCTGCTCCAGCAAACCTGTTTCCTAACCGATGGCCTGTACGCTCTGTGAAACCTCTCCGCACAGATCTTCAGTAAGCTATCACGCATGTGGAGACGGCGGGCTAGCTCGCTAACAGTTGCCTCAGGTGAACGGACGCTGAGAGCGCCTGTGCGTGGGCGTTCACATTGATGTCGGGGGCCTGTGTGGTATTTCTTTCTGTTGGAAATGGGATGATTGTGTTCATGTGTGTGTTTGTGACCCCGTAGAATCAGTAGACCTGCTCTTTTTAATTGTGCCTGTGTTTGCTGTTGTCAGGTGTGGGGAAGTCGTGTCTACTACTACAGTTCACAGACAAGAGGTTTCAGCCGGTCCACGATCTCACCATCGGTAAGAGCGCCTGTCCTCTACACTCATTCATAGGAAATAATTACTGATGGCCGTATTATAGCGTCGGGGGAAGCCACCTTTTCTTACGTGGCCAGTGAAAGATGAGTGAACAGGTGGAATGTTGTGTACAGCTACTTTACAGTAGAGTTTCTCCCGTTTGTAACGATTCACTGATGTTTCTCTGAACTAATAATGCTAATAGAAATAAAAATAAAGTAAAAGACTAATTTGTCAGTACCTAACTGTACTAGTTTGTGTGTGTGTGTGTCCTTCCAGGTGTGGAGTTTGGAGCGAGGATGATCACTATAGATGGCAAACAGATCAAACTGCAGATCTGGGATACGGTAATACATCTATTTGTTTAGCTCTTAAAGGAAGCTCTCCACACTGTGGCCGCAGATTAGAGAAACTTGTACAAATGTTGAGCGACCTAAATGAAGTGCTGTAACTACTCTGAACTACCGAAGTCACAGGTCTTCATCTTCCACTGTGATTCTGTGGTGATGAATATGAATTACTTCTGTTGGAAAGTTGAAAGAATTCTGATTAATCTTTAATGAATTACGTTCAATATGAAAATCAATATATCTGGAGCTCTGCCACATAACAAGAAGGCTTAGTGGAGAAGTTGTTACACTTTGTCAACATATTTCATGTTGTGTTCAAGGAGAGTTTCAGCTTCAAATCAACTAATGAAAAAAAACGAAACAAAAATGCATTTTCTCGCTAAAGAGGGAGAAGTGCAAAGTCTTTTTTACATTTTTCTTGACTGAACGTATCCATCCATCTGTGAGGTTCCACTGTACACTAGCAAGTCTGTGCAGTTAACCAGTGGACCAGCAGGTGGAGGTGGAGCTCCATGGAAGGACAGTGGGCCACAGCAGTGACGTCAGTCCTGCTTCTCAGAACTGAGGGAACAGGCTGCTGCAGGTTGTCAGTCAGCTAGTTAGTCTACACCTGGATGACCAGGTGTCATGTTGTCCCTGATTAGATCGTGTCTTAATGGTTCTCTTTCTGCAACTGATGAACAGAAGTGCAGAATGCGGAGGAGTGACGTAGACGCAGCAGCAGAGACCTGACAATCCGCCTGTAGCCCCGCCCTGAAGCATGCTGTGCTTTATGGTCTTATTTGACTTTAAATGAACCATCATTTACCAAATAAACATCATGCTGTATTGAAGAAGACTTTAGTGACTGAGATCATAAACACATGTTTACAATGTTTACTGGGGGAATATTATTAAAGAGACAAGTAGACCAATTCTAATTAAACAACTGGAGTCGCCGCCCCCTAGTGGACAGTAGGAAGAATGCAGCGTGAACACATGAGGCCTATAAAATGTAATGATATCCAGTCTATTACTATAACCACATGCTTACTTACAGCGGCCATGTGAAGTCAACATCCAGACGGTGCACAATCTGACCAACCAACATGCGTAACCATCCCCTCTTACAAAGCACCACGAATGGCTACAGCAAATGGATGGTTGTGTAGGCTGTGCGTGCGTGTGTGTGTGTGTGTGTGTGTGTTTCTACACTGCAGCACGTAGAGCAGATGGCAGCCAGACACGGCGTTCCCTCTCCTTCACCCTTATTCATCATTTATTCACTAATAGCATTACCGACTGGTTGGCTGCTGACTGGTGGCCGCCTCACTGCCCGCCTGGTTCACTGCCCCCCCCCACCCCTCTCTCGCTGACTGGTCGAGCTGGTTACCGGTGTTAGGCTGCCCTAACTAGCTGGCTCAGCGACCTGGGCTCCGACCTGCTGCGGGATTGACCGACTGGTCGTGTTGCTGACTGACTGTCTGGTTTTTCAGATGAGGTCAGAGCCGAGCAAGGCAGCGCTGCAGCTGCTGTGATAGAGTTGTTTTGTTTTCTGCCCTGGTCGGGGCGAAACACTGACAACATTGTTACTGTACACGGGATGGAGACAGAGGATGAATAGAGAGGTGGGGCGGGGGTTGTGGGGGCGGAGGAAGAGCGCTAGCTGGTGAAAGGGGCGATGGAAAGAGGAGCGATTCATGGCGAGAGAATGAGAAGATGAGTGATGCAAGGAAGAGGTGGAGGCCAGACTATGAGCGGTAGTAATTGAAAGGGCATTTGGGGGCAACAAGGTGACACAGGGGGAGGGGCTGACCATTATATGTTTATGGCGATGCTAAAGGTTTGTTCCGCATGACACCGCGGCCCCATGTGAGCTTCCATGTTATCGGTAAATATGGAAGCCGGTGGGGTCAGACACGCAAGTGGAGAGCAAGAAAGGCTTCGTGACGACGAGAGGGAGAGAGTCCTCCATTGTATCCAGTTACAGGCTCTGCTCTGTCCTCCCCCAGCTGACGGATAAACTGGAGCCGGACACTGCTAGAGAATCCGGACCGGGACTAGACTACATAAGCAGGCCGGTGGGGGAGGGGCTGTAGAGGCCCGGCTCTTTTAGGAAAGCGGGGGATCAGCAGTCGTCTGTGGTCATTTTAATTATTCACGTTTCAATTTCTGTTTATTAATATATGTATGTTTCTGCAGGCTGGTCAGGAGTCGTTCCGGTCCATCACCAGGTCTTACTACAGAGGAGCAGCGGGGGCTCTGCTAGTCTATGACATCACAAGGTATCACACTGCATACTCTGCAGCCGAGGTGCATTCAGGATCATTGTGAACTTTGGTGTTGGAATGAAAATACTCGTTAAATTTGTCCCTTTCCTCACCATGGCAGGTCTCCAAATAAGAGAGTTGAGTATTTAGTTGCTGGGCCAAAGAACAATACGCAGTACATGCTAACAATACCGATGCTAATATCTGGTGCTGAGCAGGTTCAACCTCTTGCTTTAGTGTGTTAGCATGCTAACACTTTCTATTTACCACTCGAGTTAGTGTGAATTTCATCCATTCTGCGGGTATTTGATCATAAACCCAAAAACGTTTTTAGGTCAACAAGAAAGACGATGATGGAGCAAAATGAAAAGCTCTAAATGAGGTTTTTCCCACTGATCACTAATGTGTGAAAATCTTGATGGCAATTGAACACGTAGTTAAATTCATGGTTGCACAGTGAGGTCAGAGGATCCGCTTTGTCTGGCAACCATGAATGTCTGACCCAAACTTCGTACCCATCCCAGAAGGACATTGTAATCCATGTTGGTTATGAATCGTCATGGTCCTCAGAGGTTGATTCTAACGGTAGTCACGACCCTGTGACCTTTTTGTCCAGCACCACCATCAGGTCAAAATCTCCTCTTAGCCAAATTTCTATATGTTAAAATCCCCAAAAAGATAACGCTAATCTAATAGACTTAAGAGTATGGCGCTATTGCAATCCTGAGGGTTTTTTAGCTCTGACCTAGTTATTAGACTTGCTGCTTTGGTTTATTTTGATATAAGTATAATCTTGTGGGGCACAGTGGATGTTCCAATCTTTTAGAGGCCACTAGGGGGACACGGGACACGATGCCTTGGGCTTGAGGACAGTAAACTAGAACAAGAGGTGGCGACAACATTCCTCAGAAAGGGGAGAGTAAGAGCTGATATCATTGTTTACTGTAAAGCTGATGTTTTGTCTTTGTTCAGTGTGTGTTCTGTGCTCACGTTAACAGAAGGGACACCTTCAACCACTTGACAACCTGGTTAGAGGACGCTCGCCAACATTCCAACTCCAATATGGTCATCATGCTCATTGGCAACAAGAGGTGAGTTGCATCCTCCACAAGGCTGGACCATCAGAAGCGCTGTGGCGTCTTTTACTGGTCCTTCCCCTGTACTGTTCTAAGATCGATTTTACTGAGGAGATCAGAAAAACATTCTGGCCTTATATTGGGCCAAATCAGTATTTTCACAACTCATACACCATTTTCGCTCCTCATACACCATTTTAAAGCAAACCGTAGGACCTTTTGGTCGCACACCTGTTAGGGCTGCACGGTATGGCCAAAAATCCATATCACAGTATTAAAGATTTTGACGGTATCCCGGTGTGTGACGGTATGGCTTTTTCAAGTGAACACATTAATTCATTGACCCCGAAAAGGACCGCGGCCACCCGAACAGCTGTTTGCCGCTCGCAACTGGCCGGCGTGTTAGCGCGTTAGCTTGTTGTGGCTGCTAGTGTTGCCACTAGAGGCTCGACAGACTTTGCAATAAATCGTTCTCTGATCTAATGTAACGTACGTTGGATTTTCCAAAACCAAACGGACTCCGCTCCTCTGTTGGGCACAAGTTGTGTTGGTGCCCCTCTGGTCTCTCGTTGTTCCTCCTGTATCTCTTTTCCGTGTTTTCATGTCGCAACAGAGTTACTTCTTGTTGTGAGCTGTACCCAGCATGCAGTTCGTTAAATGTACAATTATTAGTTTTACTAATAGTTTATGTATCACAATCTGTAGTGTTGTGGTGTTTTACCCTGTTAGAGAGTTTGTTGTGGGTTATTCGTTGTTCTTATTAAGTTATAACCATGACTCAATCATAACACACGTAAGACGAGCAGCTCCGACCGCTGGACGCTCCTCCATGACGTGTACAAATAAATTCTGCAGCCTGCTGAAGAGCAACGTCAGTTGTTATGGTGTAACACCGGTATGAACGGTACAGAGATTCATACCGTAAGGAAGTCTTACCGTTTGAACCGGGACACCGTGCAGCTCTGTGTCTGTGGAATCCAGCCGGCTTACGCCAACTGAACTCCACCCAACTGCTGCCTCACAATCGATGTTAACAAATTTCTTAAAGCAGACGGTACCATTTCTAACCTTTCTTAATTAGTCCTCTCCTCCACCCAGGTGCCTCAATCACCATGGTAACAGTGACACACGCCACCTCTTAATGTCCAATACATATGTAAGAGGAGCAAGAGCTCCACATTTTCATGCGGCCTCAGTCACATTTTAAGCCCCACAAACCTGAAGGATATGACGGCCAGAGGCTCTGGTGTAAATATGAGCACATCTCTCTGGCTTTGACAGGAAGTTTTATACAAAATCCAGTCAGTCGTAGTTTGTAGTCCGCCCCTTCGCCATGGTAACCAGTGACGCGTATGCACGTACCCGAGGCTACATTACAGTGTTGTGTAATTTGTGTGTCAAATCTGCTTTCGTTAGAATTACAGGAACTAATTCTACTCTGGTAAAGACATTCCCTTGTTGACTGTAAATGACAGACAGACCTCACACGAGGCCCAGGTACCGCCTTAAAGTGCAAAACAACGCTGAGTCATCGCTGGCGATCCGTCATCATGAACACATCGTGGCTTAATTCAGGACAGAAAAGTCCCCATTTATATCACCAAATGTCTGTGAAATGCACCGCAGCCACCTGTTTGTTTGTTTGTTTGTTTGTGTGTGTTTTTTAGTGACCTGGAGTCGAGGAGAGAGGTGAAGAAAGAGGAGGGCGAGGCGTTTGCCAGAGAACACGGACTCATCTTCATGGAGACCTCAGCCAAGACTGCCTCTAATGTCGAGGAGGTAATCATACACACGTACACAGTAAAACTATGTATGTGAATATATGTATACAGGCTACATTTAGCGACTACTCTCTACTGACTATTTTTAGACTAGGTTTGCTGATGATGGGTTTTAGATGCCGATATAAATTATTTTATTTTCAAAACCATTGAATAAAAATGAGACACAGAACCGCTGATTTAAAAAAATAAACCTTTATTTAACCAAGTTGGTCTCTTCATCTACTCAGTTTGCTTAAGTGGATCTGCAGTTTGTCTGAAGTGCATGTTTTGAAATCATCATGACATATTAATATATTGCCTATAACCTTTAAAGGAAAAGAAAATGTCACTGAAAGACTCCAGATTACACACATCAATCTGTTCTAAGACGGAGTAAAGCGTTTCACAGTGATTAGTGCTGCACGCCTATCTGTTGGAACACTGTAAGCATCAACTTCCTCTACTGGAGACGTATCGCTGAGCATGTTCAGAAGTGTAAATCACCTTTATCAATGACGTCTTGTCACCAGCACGTGACGGCTACACGTCTATGATGTGTATCTCCCGTTCCAGCACATCCCAAAGGAGCTCTACTAGATCGAGATGTGGTGACTTGGAGGCCATTGGAGTACAGTGAACTCATTGTCATGTTCAGGAAACCAAAATGATGCTCAATTGGTCCTAAGTGTGCCAAGCAAATATCACACCACCAGCAGCCTGAACCGTTGATAGGAGGCAGGATGGATCCATGCTTTCATGTTGTTTTTCCCCCCCAGTGGCCAAAGACCTTGTCAGGTTAGCGTCACAAAGCGCGGTTAGCAGGTGGCTCCGCCCTTCTTCTTGCGCTCCGCCAATGGGTGTCGTTGTGTCTAATGAATGCATGGCGCTAGTCTTCAGGGACCAGTTTCTCACTTCACATAAATAATCCCATCCTACGCCGCGCAGCTGAGGCACCGCGGTGCGTTCATGTGTTTACATTGATTCTTTTCCCCCTATCCGTGTGTGTGTGTGTGTGTGTGTGTGTGTGTGTGTGTGTGTGAGAGAGAGTGTGTGAGTGAGTGATTAATATGTCCCATTAGTGTCCTCTAAATCCTCCCGATACCGCGCCTCCCTTCATCTCTCTTCACTCCATCCCACGTCCATCATTTGCTCTTTACCTCCCTCCCATCCTACTTCAACCCCCTCCCCCTCCTCCAACAACAGGTCTTCCTCCTTTGCGTCCTCCTGCCCCTCTTCCATTTGTTTCTTCCTCCTCCTCCATTTTCTCCATCGTCTAGTTTTCTCTCTCTCTCAGCAGTATATCAACAGTTATAGTTCATACATATTCATAACCTGCCACCCCCCCCGTCCCCCCTCAGCGACACCCTGCAGCCAATCGGTGGGCCAGCCTTATCGTCAGGGTCTGTGGGTGGACACTGGGCCGCTGGGATGCGCCTTAGAGAGAGCATCCTATAAGCATGCTGTCATCTCGCCTCCTTTTCTTCCTTCCCTCGAGACCTTTTCCCTCGTCTATTTATTTCCCCTATTGGTCATTTCTATTCTTTTTGCTGCTTTTTACCTGTAACCATCCCACAAAGTGTACTTAAACGCATTGAATTTTTCAAAATAATCAAGCATATTATTTGGTCATATTCCTAATAAATTCCCCTGTATGTACAGTTCACACAATAGTTTAGATGTCATCAGGTCGACTAAGGATCTTATAAAAGGTCAGCTGTCTACTTGGCTGTTTATGTACTTAGTTGTTCACACGTCATCATATTAAGCATTTGGGCCATATTACAGTTGAAAGGTTTTAATTATTTCAATGAAATTGCAGCAGATACAGAAAAGAACACACACTGCATCTTTTGTATTGGTAAACTATAGTGATCTATTTATGTTAGAAATATAGTCTCCCTGCCGTAGTCCCCAATGTTCTCATCAGTCTTTGTTTTTCCTCCTTTCATATTTGAAACCTCCACATCCCTCTGAGTCTCGGTGTGGAGGAACCAGGGACATGAGATATGATGGAGGAAGGAGGACAGGAGTGAACAGGGCAGCGTGCACCAGGGAACCCTCTCGGGCTCCTCTGCCTATTTTCAGACTCCGTGTCGGATTAGTTCAGGACATATTTCCAGTTCTTTTAATGACTGCTGAAGACGCACACTTCTGCTCAGCCTCACAAAGTTGCAGTCGGTGGCTGTGTTCCAACAAGTTTATCCTAGCTGCTTCCCGGTTTACCCCCTGAGACACTTTGAGACTTGTCCCCGGAGACAAATGCAGCGATATCACAGGCGAGTAGCTCAAGGAAGCTTATTTCCACTTTATTCTAACGTCTCTGATCCTGTCTGTCTGTGAGGTGTGCGTACGGAAAGAAACAGATTGCGTGGCGTCTTTTTGTGTGTACTGCTCAGATCTTCCTCATGTAGCAGCTGTCCACACAAGGAAGCAAATCTGCTCCTTAAAGCTCTCAAAGTCCCGTAGATGGTGTTGACAGAGGCGGTTTGGTTCTTAAAGTCCCAACAAAACTGCCCTTTTAGAGTGTCTTCTTGTATGTTTCCTGATGCAATGAAACCAACGTGTTGCGCAGCAGTTCCTCCTCGCGCCGAGGGTGGACTCAACGGCGCTTTAATTTGACAGCACTGACTTCCAATCAAAACCGGGCGTGCCGAAAAAAAAGGAATATTTTCTCCTTTTTGTATTAATATATGAAAAGATATTGCTCAACATTTAACAACATGACTTGTATGAGCCGATTGTGCACCGCAATGCAGTTGTTGTTTTTTGGGTAGAACCAGCCAATCGATAGATGTATCAAACTTGCATTATTACTTTGCAGTTAAACTGTTGAATGTATGTTAGATATTTAAGTGAGCATGGGAAGCTAAACGCGGCCTTGGCACGACTTGATCCAGCTAGCTAAACCTCCCAATGTAGCGTCTCTAAGCTTTGTATGTGCAGCTTCCCTTTCACGCCAGTCCGTTGTCCGATCGAGAGGTCCGGCTGATTGGGGTCCAGCTGTTTCACCTCTAGTTTCTCCAGCAAAGTTCTTCTCTCAAACGAGTCTTCGAGTTTGGGCCGGGTCTTGGAAGAATACTGCTTGTGCCTCGCGTGATTAACCCTGACGAGAGCGCAGCCTGGGTAAATCCCAAAGCTGAATCTATTGTAGGGTGCTGATTGGCTAAATTATGTCACTCGTGTATCTTTTAGTATCAGTAGCATCAGTGGTTGGCTAAACTGATTCTTAGATCCGCCTCTTTTGGGCCTGCCCCAAATATTACTGGGTATATTCCATGTTTAAAAAACAAAAATATAGACTATTTGTAAAATTTATTTTGACATTAAAAAAAATCTCTGTATATTCTTTGTGTGCCTCAGGGGGAGGGCAGGCTGCCACTGGTGCACCGCCATTTTCATGTGGCAAGCGCTCACTCACACGGTGCGACATCCGGTGGATCGATTTGAGATTGCAGCTAATTATACTGAAGAATATACCGGCAGGCCAGCTCCAATAATTAAATATTCTGTGGGCCAAAGACCGTGCCTTGAGTTTGACATATGTACTCTAGGAAAAGGGGGCTTCTTTAAGGGCGAGCCAGCTGCTTACAGCCTTTATGCTAAGCTAAGCTAACCACAGCAGGTCTATTCTAAATGCAGACATGAGTTTCAAACTGTTCATTTCATTTCCCTCTCAGAATAATATGTATCCTATTGGAAATGTGGAGTTAAAGCCTAGTTTATGGTTGTGCGTGTTCAGAGAGATGCAGGGACACTCAAGGGACACGCCAGAGCCCTTTGCGTGTCCCTTGCGTGTCACACCTCCTTGCGTGCGTCCACCAATTTTTCTAGACTAGCACCAAAAGCTACGCAAGCCTCCTGCAGCCCACAAGGCTGTGGTTGGTCTGCTAACTACATCCTTTACGGAGTCTCACATTTCCGCTTTCATAGCACAATACCGCCATTATTAAAAGGAAGATTTTTGAGGAGAGAATGAATCCGATTGAAGAGCTTTACGGAAATATGATCACTTCTACAAGCCGTCATTGGCGGACGGCCTCTGATTCATTGAGGGAGATCTCTGCAAACGTCAGAGTAAATAAACAAACCAACGACTTCCACACACAAAGACGCAACTCTCTAGGTCGTCTTCGACAACAAAACGTTGCCCCACCTGTTCTGGCGGTTAATTGCTCTGCAACACACGCAAACATTTTACAACCATGGATTTAAACGAGTGAGTCGACACGACTGCGCAAAGCGACGCAGACGCAGTTGCAGAAGCAGGCCAGCGCCTTAACTGAGAGGCATTGGGATTTGTCTTTTAGAAATCTCTCTCCCACTCCTTTGTGCATGTTGTGAGCCTCGCAGGCCGCTGAAGCTTTGTCCAGACATCCAATATGTTGCATTACAATACGGGTAGATGAAATCCAGCATTCCAATTGGTTGAGCCTGACGAGGAGCGCATTATTCAGCATAATGTACAATAGCTGTTCACATTGACCCGAGCGTTCCGTATCACTGCGCACTCAAAGTAGCAGGATAGATTTTGTGCGACCGTTAGTTGACATTTTAGCTTTTAGCTCGGTGGCGATTGCCGGAAAAAAAACCACGTAAAATCCCAGAGATCGGTTTGGGGCAATGCCAGCTTTCACAACCGGACAATTAAGGTGGACGTCATGATCGATGTGAATGAATGAGACGGTGCGAGACCCGATGCTGTTTACGTGCACATACAGGGACTATTTGTACTGAAATGAGACACACAACGTTTGGTGGCTCCAACTACTTTGTGCTGAAAGGCAGCTATTTACTTCCTGATTCTAGTTTCGCTGGTAACCGTATTATAAAAGCAATGAGGTACTTGAGGCTGTACTTTATATTCAATAACCGTTCGAGGGTTGCTAAAAACACCCCCAAACTATTATTGGACGACAATGTACAGCCTTTCGTACCTTTTATTGCTTTATTATAGTGTCTGCGTTGGGTCATTGTGAGTTTCCACTCTAAAACGTGGAATGTGTGAGTAGCATTTAACACACACACAGAAATATTCGACAAATCCATTCAAACATTGAGCCAACATCTAGAAAACTGCTTCCTGCTTAACAAGAAAAGCAAAGTTGTGTTTTAGGAGTGGACATCCGATATGACTTGAATCTCCTCCTCTTCCTCTGTCCTCTCACTTCCTGTCTCTATCTCAGGCCTTCATCAACACAGCCAAGGAGATCTATGAGAAGATCCAGGAGGGAGTGTTTGATATCAACAATGAGGTGAGACACTTTTTTCCACTCTTTCTTTGACCTGTCCTTTTCTTCTCCACCCTCCAGTCTTTGTTGTCCTCTTCCCCCCCCCTGTAGTTGTCCAGCAGTGTGTGGTTTGCACTGCTCGCTGTAATGTCAAAACGAAAGGGGAGGGAATAAACCCCCAAACTCTCTTCTTCTGTGCTCCCTTTGACTCCAGCCAAGCGCTCTGTCTCTGTCTGTCTCTCTCTCTCTCTCTCTGTCTGTCTCTCTCTTGGCGTCTTGCCAGCTCATAAATTCCTCACATCCCACAACGTCTCAGTCATTCTGCAAGAAAACAAACACTCAGCCAGCAACTCAGCCTGCAAGCTTCATATCCAGCCAGTCAGCAAGCTCACAATCCAGTCAGCCAGATGGTTATCTTCTCTCAGCGGAACAGTTATCCATGCAGCAAGTATGCACTTGTCAGCAAGTGTTAGTCACACGACGTTCACATCGCAAAGGTCCCAAAAATTCTCTTCACAGGGAACATCGCCACGTCTGGTTCATTGAGACTTCCCACAGTGGGCGGAGTCTGCACTTTTGTCTTCCCGTTACGGGGCGAACAACAAGCCGCACTGATCTCCGATAGCATCTGGTAACATCTAGAACGTTCTCCAGCGTCGAGTAGCTGAGCCTACTGGTCTGCCGGTGGGCCGGGCCAAAACAGCTGGGCTGCTTTTTAAAATGACACAAACCGGGCAAAGTACCCGTTCGGAGATATATATATATATATATATAATCTTGAGGCCCTTTAGCCAGCCAGTAGTCGGGTCAGAACTGGAGCCAGCCAGAGCTTTTGTTATTAGTAGCAGTGAGACAGGAAGGCCGGCCAAACCACATCAGCTGACTGGCTGAGGCAGCGAGAGGGAAGCCCCACCAGAAATGTTGGCAGTCACTATGAGAACACACACACACACACACACACACACACACACACACACACACACACACACACACACACACACACACACATGGCCTAAGCTCAATAAATGTGATTTAAAGGCAGGGAGAGTTTCCCTGAGGCACCACTGCTACTGAGTTTAAGAGGGGTGGGAGCTTCGTGGAGAGGGAGGGAGTTAAATATATACAGAGGAGGAGGGAGCGAGGCTGGGAGGGTGCTGCAGCTACACACACACACACACACACACACACACGGAGGGAAAGTGAGACCCACAGTATACACAGAGATGAAAGCCGTGTCTCTACCACCCACCTGCCTCTTTCTCTGTCGCTCCCTCTTCTTTTAAAAAAGCTTTTCATTTCCATTGCTTTCTCTCCTCGTGTCCTTGAGTGCTGCTGGTGTTTCCCCTTCCTTTGTGCCATGCTTCAGCACCTGTTGCTCCGCCTGTGATCTGATAGGAGCACACATCAGGCCCCGAGCGGTGGTGCAGGGATGGTGTCGCTGCTTCTCCGAGGCCCGTGTGTGACTTACCTGCAGTAGGATAGATGGCGGTCCGCACGCCTCCAGTTTGAAGAAACAGGCCGACTGCTGTGGATCAATAGCGGTCCACTATATTTAGCTATAGTCCACCAGTCTGTAATCGATGCTCCCTTCAAAAACAAGCACAGCCATTTCATCTCTCAGATGTTCTACCTCTGCCTTGGTCGGCTGGTTCAGATTCTCTCGTCACGCAGCCGTGACACGATGTGGAGGAGAGAAGCCCAAACAGGCGCTATGCACTACGTCCTCCCCCGCCTCTAATCTGTCCACGGGACCCCACCTGTCCACATCCTGCCCGTCCCATCAAGTAAAGAGCACACAGCACATCGTATGTATCGTCATCACCTCCATCGGTGATGAGCTACCCGGTAACATGCTAGTTAGCAGAGCGCATTCAAGCTTAAATCATGTGATCTAACAGGGTAGTCACGCTAGCGTGGCAGCTAGCGAGCTAATATGCTGACAAGGCCTCCGCCTGCGCACTGTAATTTGTTGACTATTACATTGAGATGGACTAGATCACCCTGCCTGTGTCTGGCCGTGTTGCTTATGGCCCTCTGCTTTGAAACCTGTACAGTGGACACATTCTACAAGAGCCTTGTAAACAAATCTGATGTAGAGGCTGAAAGGAAATGCTCTGCATGAATGTTTGCAATGGCTCAAACGTAGTGCTTTGGAAAGATGTGATGGAGAAACTCGACTGTTTGATAGACCGTTTCGCTGCGTTCTTCACACGTTTGACACGTAGTTCAGGGACAACTGTCGAAGATTGTGTACCGTCGCTCGCTAACGGATTGCTGGTTCAAGAGATCTGCATCAGAGGCTGCTTCTAGATGAACGTTGTCATCAATTTTGGCCTCGTTGTGTCTCGTGCGTGTTCGTGCGTGCGCCGGCGGCCGACCGACCCCGATGTTTTCTGCATTTGAATCACTATTTAAATTTGAATAAACCCGCCTTACCCAAAAGTCCTCGCCCATACTGCAGTGAGAAGGTCACAGCTGGACAGGTTTACTCCATAGCTGCAGCGCCCTGATGTGGGATCTGTGTTGTCCCAGCGATCGGCCTGTGGGGGATTGCAGCAGAGACATTTCATCACCCTTGAGTGAGATCTTTTCTTGATGGTGTGCTTCTCGTTTGTTTTCCTTAACCCTCCGTGAACCTCATTGTCTCCGTCTCTGTCTCCAGACAGGCTAATGGTATCAAGATTGGACCCCAGCATCCAACCACCAACTCCACACTGTCCGGCAGCCAGGGAGGCCAACAGGCTGGAGGCGGCTGCTGCTAAAGCCCCAACACACTCCTCCTCCTCCAACCCCCCCCTCCTCCTCCTCCTCCTCCTCTCCCTCGTGTTTCTACAGAACTGTCCAGGCTCACTGGCAGTTTGTTAACCTCTGTCTCTCCTTTGCTCCATTCGTCCATCCATCCCTCCCTCTGTCTCTTTTTCTCTCTCTTTGTCTTTTAGCCATGTCTTTGCTTGGTCCCATGGCCATATCTAAGGGTATTGGGGAGGGCTCTGCCCCCCCCCCGAAACAACCTGACTGTCCGGTCTTACTTAGACTGGGTCAAGATGAATCGATTTTTATCTCTTTATTTAAAACATGGCAGAATGTGAAGAACTGTTCACACACGCCTCTAAATTGTTGAGGATGTCCGCGTAACGCCCTCTTAACAAGCAGACTATAGAACAAACCCCACACACACCTGTACACATCTGTACATGCTCTGATGACGCAGCACGCTGGCAGCAGGGCCTGTTTCCACATGCTGTGTGTACGGAGGGTATAAATAGCTGTGTGTAGTACCTCTGCATCGTCTGTCCCGTTCATCGCCATGTTTTCTTTGTCTCGGTCTTTGTGTCCCTTTTTCGTTGACTTCCATATATGATTTGTATTTAATGAACACTACAAACTGGTTGTGGCTTAAAAACATTTAGAGAGTAAAAGTGCAAGCTGAGGGCGAAACTGGATCCTTTAGGGACGAAAGGAAAGTTTAGAGGTTGAGCGCAGCGGGCCGCCATTATGAAGTTGAGAGGAAAGTAGAACCGAAATCAAGACTCTTTGTTAACTATATTTATCGGGCACGTTTCTGTGTATATATGGCTCTTTAGATTTCTGTAGCTTTTAGGGGGGGACGAGGGGGGCTTGTTCAAGGTGAAACTTGGCTTGTTATGGACTCATCATTTCTTTACCATTTTAACAACTCATTTAAACCCAGGACGCCCTTTCTTTTAAATGACGAGTAACGGGGCTGTGAGCGGGGAGCTCCCTTCTCCGAGCAAGCGAAGACTTCCACCATAACATTGGCGTCACATATCTAACGTACAGCGCTTGGAGCGATGCCGTGATGCAATGCTTTGTTCTTACTCTTTTTTCGGTTGGACATCCCCGTTGTAATCGGCACCATTTCACTGTTTTGCTCATTACTTTGCTACTTCGGTTACTTCACCCCCCCCCCCCCCCCCCTCTCTGTGGTAACATTAACTGTCTATTTTTTTAATGCCAAATTATTGTTTACCTGCGTGTCATCAAAACAAAAAATCTCCTACGCCCCTGTACTATGTCCTGAAATCAGCTGCCTGCCTTAACTCCAGCCCTGAGAGATTTGGACAGCTGCTACAAACATGAATGGAACGGACGCTTTCTCCTGACGCTGTAGCTAGCTAGCTAGCCGACGATGCATTACCTGCAGAGAAGCAGTCGTAGGAAGAGCTCCTAGGAACATGCATAGTTTGCATTGTGCAAATAAATAGGGGCATATGGAAGGACCCCAACATGCTGCCCCCCCACCATCTCGCACACGCACACACAGAAGACGCACACATCGATTTGTGTTGATCTAACATGGCCGTCGGGAGCTTTTGGTGGATATCACGGCAGTGTGTCCCTCTCTTGCTGTTCTTTTAGCTCTTAGATATATTCAGTCATTTATTCATTTCATTCAGATGACAAAATGTAGAGTGTGTGTCTGTGTGTGTGCACCAGAGGGGGGAAGGATCAAGCCAAACCTGAAGCATCCATGGAGCTGTCTGACTGGAACGAACTAGCTATCTTTTATCCATGTGGCCCTCCTCTATCCCTCTTCCCGCCCGCCCCCCGCTCCCTCCTCCCCTTTGACGTTATTTGCTGTTTGTTCTTTGGAAAAAACAAAACATAAAAAAATGAAAAAATGAAAATGCTATCACAATAAACTATAATAAAACATTCTAAACCAGGGGTGTCAAAGTCATTTCAGGTCCGGGCCAGATACTGAAGCGGGCCGACCATTACAATCACATGGGGGGGGCACTGACGATCCGACCAGCCGGGGGGGGGCATGCAAAACGAATCGATACAAAAGAAGATGCAACCGCGCATGCGTGCGGACTGTTCTGTAATTCTCACAATAGCAAAGACACCCGTTTGTTTGTTTTTGTATTATTATTTGTTTGCCACCTGGCCACGCCCATCCTGACTTTTCAGGGTGTGAAGACATCGATCTTAATGAGTCCACATTGTGTTTTCCTCGATCTGATTTGTCCATTCAAATGAGCAGAGAGGGACGCGCCTGGATCCGTGCCATTCGACCTTCAGCGGTAATGGAGATTGTTTTTCCCAATGAAGGTCAGCCGACTGAATGAAACCTGTTTTAACTCATATGCAGTCAGGGAAGGTATACCTCTTGTGTACGTGCAGGAGATTCTCTGCAAATAAATGCACACATTAAATTCAGATTTCCTTGAAGATAGCACATTTTGGGCTCAACAGCGTGTTTCCTTCTGATGCAATTAATGCTGAATGAGTGCTTTAATGACTATTAATAACAATTAGTACTTTTTAACTCCCAAGAAGACGTGACAATGTTTGTGGAAGGTTTGATCACAGCTAAATTATTAAATGGGACTTAATTAGGGTTGCAAAATTCCAGGAATATACAACGTTAGAAACATTCCATGGGAAATAACTGGAATAAACTGGAAATTTGGGGGTAATTTGACTATTTACCTTGTCATAAGCAGACATGTATGCAAACATTTATAATACAACTTTTAAAATGGAAAAAAAAAACAGCAGAGCAAAGTGGCTGTAAAATACTAACACACACTCCCGTCTTTCGTTTAGCTTTACGCCTTCCTGTATCCATGGCGATTATATCATAGCTACACCTGAGGGAAGCCTCCGCCCCCCCCGCCCCTTCCTTGGCTGAAGTAGCTAGCATAGCATTGGCCATTGAAATCAATGGCGTAACTAGCGTAGCATTGGCCATTGAAATGAATGGGAGTTCTCTCCAATGTGTTCGAAAACTCTTAAAATCCTGTCTTTCTACCTTCCCACTCTTAAAGAAGAGAAAGAAAGACTGTTTGAAACCTGTTATTCTGTCTCTTCCGCTTTTATAAGATACAATGAAATCATCCACCTGAAGGCCATTTAAAAAATAAATTGTATTTTTTTTGGTCTCTTTGATAACAGCATTATTGTAACCAGCAGTAATGGTTGATTGGTGATTTGCGATTACATTAGCACGTTAGCCTACGTCAGATAGCCTAACGTTCTTTCAGCGCACCAACGGCACACATTAGCATCTACGCAACCATCTTAAAAGACCCTTCAAGCCAGTTCCTCCACTGCGCAGTAGTCATGTCCATCTCCCACTCATGACAGACCAACATTGAGCTTTTCTCCAACAATGAGCTGTCAGTTTGTTAATGACGAGCAGCTTGTTTGTCTTCTCAATAACATATTTACCCCAGTAATATCATCCAAACTTACCTGAGTCAATGTAGTCCTTGTGCTCAAATGCAGGAGTGTGGCCTCAATAGTCTGCTGTAGTGTGACAAGTTGCCCAACTCGTGCTTTTTGATGGACCCTGAAATAATGGAGGACATTTAGTCTACTGTGTTCAAATAAACTTAGCTTCAGTTTTCCGAGTAATCAATATGCTCAATATGCTCAGTAATGACAAAGATGTTCAAAGACAACAGAACGTTTTATGTTTGCGATTGTTTCTGGCATCAATATGCTCAATATGCTCAGTAATGACAAAGATGTTCAAAGACAACAGAACGTTTTATGTTTGCGATTGTTTCTGGCAGACAATGTTCCCAACCAGCTGCATCCAGGGTCCAGCTGAGCTGGGCGTGCATAGTCGTCTTCTCAACTACATTTAAGTTCTCTGTTATATGCTTTTCCCCAAAAATATTGGCACATTTTACTTTTCAAAGTTCCTGTGGAAACTTGCAGCCGAGGACTTAATGTGCAGCAGTTTGGAACTCGCTCCTTCACAATAAGAGAGAATCTAGTGCGCAATTAGTTGTACCTTTTCCACAGCAGACATTTTGACTCGTCTTGGCAGGAAATGTGTAATTAATATACGAGAGTAAATGACACTCGTGAATCTAGTGACAAAATATCTACTATGTAATCGGTGCAACCTACTAACACACTGAAGAGCACTATGAAACGCAAGTCCTCCAGCCTGGATGCTGCTGAGTGCAGACCTCAGATCAGCCTGGATGTAGAAGGACATGCAGACCACGCTTTGAGAATTACAGTAAGTATGTTTAAGCAGTATCGGATTGAAATGTGATGTACCGCCATTGACCACCCAAACAATCATCCAATGATATCACGCTTTCGTCCATCGTCACGTGCCGCTCCACAGCTCCCATGTGGCACATCACATTCCTGCGGGGTCTTCCAACTGAAATATCTCGACCACTTCATGGAACGGTGTTTGTACAGACGTTCATGGGTCAACAGGGGGGGAGGCGTTACAGATTAAGTGACACCTATAGGTCAAATTTATGCGCTTGTCCTGTGAAGTATGTCAACACGTACTAAGTAGATTGGAGTAAAATGTTGTGCTAACCTCGGGGGCTGCCCCATGTCCTCCATACACAGCCCTGTTTAGTGCTCATTAGCCAATGCGAGCGCGCAAAACTGAGAATGATCATAGGCTACAGGCTACAGATAGATACATATTTTTAGAACACAATGTTCACAATGATGGATTACCTAATTGCAGCAAGTTTCAAGTCTCTGCATGTTGATTCTAAAAACCTACTCAAATTAGCTGAAACCACAAGGCTGTCTGAAAGTGGGCGGGGGGGCTTTCTATGTTCAGAAAGTCTCCAGGAGAAAGATACAGCATGTATGACGTGGAGGGAAACCACCTCACGAGGAATGGCGGGCTGATCAGAGCAGGCCAGGATCCATTAGACCAGACCAATACAAGAGGGTATCCAGAAGGAGACCTGACCAAGACCAGAGGCTATCCAGGCCGAGACCGTATGGGGATTGGTTGATCAATGAGACAATGCATATGAAGTTCAGTGATCTCCAGACAGGACGTCACAAAGTGTTCCCGAGACCAGAACCAGTCTCAAGTACTCAAGATTAAGTAGAAGACGTTTTAAGTCTGAGTCATCCCAGTCCATCAGAATAAAACACGTATAATTTGCACAGACACTGGTACGGTTGTCGACTATATTATAATAAACTGTGGCTGATTCTCCACAGAAAACAACGTATGTTTTAACTCTGAAATTGGACTCAACATGGTGACTACAGATCAGGGTGGGTTAGCCTAGTAGCGCCTAATGGGGCCGAAGGACGCTGGAAGAGGTGGGGGGGATGGTGAGGTTGGGTCGATTCGCCTCCCCCTGACTATATATAGGCCTGTATATAAATTGGCTGTTGTAATAATATGAGCCGAGGTGGACTTTGTTAACCCAGAAGATAGTTCCTACATGTAACTAATCCCAACAAGGTCTGTTTAGCGGGGACAGGTGGACAGGTGGACAGTCCCTTTGATGAACACACTCAACAAAATGTTTGCCTGTCCTCTAATTTGTGTAAAACCTAAACAATCACTATGAGCTACAATAACAATAACTGTGACAGACATTTTTGTTGGCATAACAAGTGGACCCTCTGCTCCAAAAGGACCAACAGCCTTCACATTTAGCATTCTTCGGGTTTTGTTTAAATGCGAGACGAATTCCACGGTACAAAACAGTATAGCACTTTATTTTTTAATATTTTTTGTAACTTTTAATGTTTAACTTGAACTTTATTCTCTTGTTTTATACTAACCCATAGCCTTATTCTACTAACCCATTGCTTTAGCATTTCATTTTATTACTTGTGCACTGCTGTCTTGTTGTCTATTGTTTACTGTCTACTGCCACGCACCAACCACCAAGACAAATTCCTTGTTTGTTTGACATATTTTGGCAATGAATGTTTCCTGATTCCTGATTCCTGATGATAGAGATTTTCAATAATATGCTTTCAAAAAATTCAGACAAAAGGAAGAAAGAGGCCTATGCCGACTCCTGACGGCCACGATCAGCACAGTTCAAAAGAAGTTCCCTGTTTGGCTTTGGGATCGAAGAGTTCTACTGAGGTGCTCAATTAATGATCACATTCATTCCATTTAAACATGAACTTTTATATATTAGAATATTTCTAATCTAGCATTTGAGGCACAGACTCAACAAAACAAGGAATTAATACCGTATCCAGATTACATATACACAGATATGTACATATCTACATACATGTATACGTACATACAATATACTCTACATTCATATACGCAGAGTATATTCATGCATATATATAAGTACATAAAGAGGCCTAAACCTTTGTACAGATTTGCACTAACTTATCACGGCAGAGCAAGGGTTAGAATTGAACCTACACTGAACATTTACATATGCATTCATTCAATCATTTATTTAAAAATAAATGGGATGATTTTGACACTGTATTGCACTTCCAAAAGGGTTTCTCGAGTCTATTACCTTTCTATCGAAGCAACAAGAAAATAAACGGCCCCATCGTATTTGGACCCGCAGCTATGGCACCAGCCCTGAGTCCAAACGACGCCCGTATTACATCGAGAAGTCCCGGAGCGCGTCATCCGGGCACGGCAGGTCAGTGACCGCGCACGCCGCCTGTTTATCTCTATGAGAGATTCTCGGGAGCGCGCCCCCCCTGGCCGAGGAAGGTGAGCGAGTGTCTGGAGGGGAGGACTCGGGAGCGCGACCAGCCGAGGGATCGATCGGATTAAACTCGATTTGAGTGAAATTAACACAAAGGAGAGAAGAGCAACGCGCACTAGTCGGCGAGGTCGCGGATGCGAAACACGCCGGAGAAACATTTCATGAAAAAGAAACTTTTTTTCGTTTATTTATATTTCAAACGAAAAAGGACCACGGAGGATTT